ATCATAGTAGTAATATCAATAAAGTTAAAGTTAAGAATGAATTAATATTACGGAGTGATAAGAAGGGACCTGTTTTGGGACCTTTACTGTTGGGACCCTTAGTTTTCAGTCAAATACGTTAAGTATTTATTTTAGCAAAAGTAAAGATAATTAAAAATACTTTGGACAGAATTCAATGTAAAATGTAAGAAATTATTTATAAAGATATACAGGCCTATAAAATTGTTATTTAAATGTATAAATATGGCAGCTGTGGTTCTTAATTTAACCCCTTCCAGCCACAATCCAGTACTAGGTTTTTAACATAGTGGTAATGTAGTCAACCAACTTCATAATTTGTGATGTTGCAATATGTATTTGAATAATGACGAATGATTCCTTTACTTGAAAGCTCAGATTGGATTATCACCATTTCTTTTGTTGACAGAGTTTGAGGTTTACTGTATCATTATTATTCACACCTTAAAGTTTGCTTTGATTGTTCAGCATTTGCACTTTACCATTGCACACACTTAGTAATGTTTTTTAACAAGTTTTAGAGTCTCTTTAACACTTATGTTTATTTTATTATGAAAAGATCAGATATTTTTGTTTAAATATTTTTGGTTTTGACTATTAAAACTATTTGCCTTAGAAATGTTGGTAAATTAAAATAAGTGGCTTTTTTTAAATTATAAAATAGCTAAATAGATTGTAAAAAAAATTAGTAATTATCGATACCAAATGATATGAAACATGATTTTGTAAAAAAAAAATTTGCAATATCACCCAGCCCTATTCGTGACTTTGGTAGATCAAATATAATTGTTTGAAAACATTAAAACATCTTTGAGTATTTTACAATGCTGTAAAATACAAGCCTCAAACCTAGAAAGGGTTTTGTTATTTTGGTGGAAACTTTTTTTTTTCATGGCAAGGCTGACTTTTGCATGAAATTGCTCAGCTGTAGTCTAGAGTGGGTCATCAATAATCATCTCACCTGTACTATGGGTGCATCAGTGGGCCATCAAGAACCATCTTAATGGTAGTCTGGGAGTGAGGCATCAAGAACCATCTGCTGATCAAAAGAAATTCTGCTTAATCTCATCACGTTAAAGGATGGGTGTTCCAACCCAAAAAATCAACCAAAAATTGTAGGAAATAATGAGTACCACTGTCACTGTTATCATCAATATACATTTATATCAAACTTTATTGACACATTGAGTGGAAAGATGAATGCAAAACAGTATGTTTTAATTAAGGGTGTTAATTGACTCCACTGAATCTGATTCTTGTCTCTACATTGTCAATGCTATGCCGAGTCACACAACAACAATAGCACGTCATAATTTTGCCAAGTACGATGTGATCCTGGATTCATCTCAGTATCCTCAGATACATCTATGTTGATCCTGGAACATAATTTTGTTCGGAAATGAAAACCATGCCTATTCCCTACCCCAACACCAAACCATAACTGTAACAGGGTATAACAGGGTGTAAGTATAGTGTATAGACCGTCATATTGGGGTGATATAAACACACCCAGTCATTTTTTTTTTTCAATTTAACAACATAAAAACGGTGGAGCAATTGGATCGGTTTTTAGATCAACCGCAACTTGGCGTAGGAGTGCGGTACCCCCGCCCACCAATATTGATTGTCAGGCACGCGTCACCTAATCCTCAGTTTGTCATTTCATGACCGCCATTTTCAGCGTGTGAGTCAAAGCGATGTCACTAAAGGAAACCCTTGCTCTATTTTTAGATGCAAGGCTCATTGGACTCAACACAAGATCAGCATTCACCACATGATCACTCTAATCGGAATTATTGTTTGTAACTTAGTTTATTTGTAGGTAGGTTTGCAAACATGTGTACTTTTCATTGCATCTATCTTAAACTTCTGCCGTTTGCATTTCTCGAGGTCACAGAAGCTCCCTGTGAGTGTGATCTTAACAAGGTGCAGCTGTAAAGTGCGACGGCCTGTGCCTTACGTGAGTGTTGCTCCATTGATAATAAAATACCACCCTCACCTGCAGGTCGCACACCAGAAGCGCCGCTCGGCAACGCACAGCGTTGCGCTATCCATTTTAGAATTCTAAACATAGGTTTCTATCAGGGTACACACAACGGCAATTCAAGTCGGTGGCTTTCCGCGGTGCCAAGCCAGAATTCGGGACAGTTCATGTGCGCCATCTGAACATGCGAATGTCCGTGTCTGGTGTGCCATGTCGTAGCTCTAAGCGGGTCATCCAGTGCCTTAGTTGAAGGTAATTTAGTGTGCGTGGTTATTAGTCTTGGTGTACAAGCTCGGCACTTGAAACTAGCACACAGTTGGCTGTAAAACTATACAAAGACACAAATGATTTTGTACTCTCTGCTTAGTCTGTGTCTGAGGTGTACATGTACGGCTGAATGCTGATCCTCAAATGTCTGCCTGTTTGTTGCCAAACACAGAGCGGGGAAGCTCTTGGCTCCGCCCCCTTGTTAAGTTGGGCGGGAATTTGAAACAAATTTTCATGTGAAACAACACACCCCTACAACAGCGAGCTTTGTACATGACCCCAAAATGACACTGTTTAACACATTATAATAAAAAATATGAACTCTGTGTTGAACTGAACCTAAACCGGCACACTCAGAAGAACCATAATATTAATATTAAATCATAAAAAAGGGGTGAACTAAGTGCCCATTAATGCTGTGTTTACACCAGAAGCGGAATGTTAATATTTGTGCGTGAATAGACGCGTGAACATTTTGAGTTTACTTGCTTCATTCACTTTATAATAGACATGGATTCGCGTCATGGGCAGGGCTTCTGTCTGCCTGGTAACTAGCTTCTGTTGTCTTATATTCTCTTTTCATCAAAAAAAAAAAAAAAAAAAAACAAGGGAAAAAAATTCTGAATTACCCCTTGTGCAAAATTTTATGCCGTGTCTCTGGGCAGGACAGTGAATGTGATGTCCAGTCCTTTTTTTTCTGAAAGCCTTGATAACACTATCACAGAGTTTTTTTATTTAGTATTTGAGCAAATAGGACTGTAAAAAAAAAAAAAAAAAAAATATATATATATATATATATATTTGTGGTACTCTCCAATTCACTGCAATCAATTGCTGCGTCCCTATTCGCATATGCATCCTAAATAGTATTCAAAAATAGAATTTGTATGTCCCAAACCATAGTATGTGGAAAAGAGTATACCAAAAGTGTCCGGATGGTTTATTATATCTGGTAAAATTTCATAGAACCGTTAATGCTCTAACCACTGATATTGCCCACAATACATTGCGTGTTGGATGTGAATTTGATCAGAACTACAAATTCAGGTATTAAAAGTATAAACAAACTACAAACATTGTGGACAGGCGAGACCAACCATTAAGTAGAGAGGCTTTGGTAAAGTTGTTTGAATGACTGTTTATCACTATCTACATAGGCGGAGCGTGTGTATGGCTGGGGAAGGCTTAGCCTCCCTCTGGCCAGAGACCACAGAGATAGCAAAGAAAAAATTAAATGTTAATGATTAACAAAACACTTTAGTTACAAATTCAAAATACCCCTCTGCACAAAAACAGAACTGTCCAACTGATTAGCGCTGTTTTTGATTGGAGTTGGCAGCAGCTCTGAAAACGAAACAGAAACTGCTGGCCAGCAGACTTTTCTCATTTGCTGGTCAAGAACGTAATAAATAAAATGACAAATGAGTATTACAAGAGAGGTATGATAATATAGTATTCTTTTTAATTAGTTTTCAGTTTTAAATGAAATGCCTTATTTTGGTTGTTTCATTGTATTCTAGCCCATAGTAATCGTGTTTTGCATTTAAATTCTGCTGTTTTCTACAGGAGTGATGGGAAGTCAAGATTTATGTTTTAATTTGTATTTTGAATAATATAAATCTAGTTTAAACAAACAATTAGTCACACTAGCTAACTGCTACTGGATTACCTTTACTCTGCAATGGTTGCCTCTAATTTAATTGCCAATAAGTTTACCATATTTTCATTTTCTTTTTTGTTGTTTCTAGCTTAATAAAGAAAAATAAATTCAGTATCCTAATCACAGTGTAAAAATGCTTATTTTTATATATTTATTGCTGAATTGCAAGTTCAGTTTTCGATTGACCTTGTGGCAAAGTGAATGATTTCAGATTCTTGACACATTTTTGCATTTGATCTATTTTTGCAAAAGGGTTAGATACTCAAAAATGTCACTTGTTAAATCAATTACAATATTACTAGATATCATAAATAGAAGAAACTAGCTATTATACACTTAGTTTAAGAGTAAGCACTGAGGTTCACCCTATTTAGGCCCACTCATTTTAAAATGTCTGGCCCCTGGCTGCATATCAAAACTAACTATAATAATTGAATGAATCTAATAAAATAATTTAATGTGCGTATTAAATATAAGACGTTTGTTACAGTGCTTTTGTTAAAACCTCTTCTTGGTCAGTCTATTTGAATGTGTTAAAGGGCAGCACATATCAGCCTTACCCTGGAGCTTGCTCACCCTCTGCCAATGACTATCTAGCCAACTGGAACATATTTAAACTGTGTTTTCCCTGCTATATTTCATCTGCAACAACAGTGTGAACTTCTATCAAGATATGTTTAGATATTCACTTCTGAATGCATAATTAAAGAGCTGAGAAGATTTCTCTGCATGAAAGACTTGGGAATTGCAAATCCTACTGCTGCTTCTTCAAAAAGGTAACTTAACAAGGGGGCGGAGCCTAGAGCTTCCCCGATCTGTGTTTGGCAATGAACAGATGCTGAGTCGAGATGATTGACAGATGACAAGCAACATAACGATCTGTTGACAAGGAAGTAGTATATCCTAAAGCTTGCATACTCTTCTGTTACACAAGTAAATACTTTTCCCTTTACAAAAAATTATATACTTTTAGGGCGTGGTATAAGTATGTAAATTGGGACACAGCGTAAGTTTACCCAATCACGACGACTTCCGCTGCTGATAAATTCGGAAATGTGAAAATGGTGCATTGGTTCTTTCCTTGAGTGACTGATATCACGTGTCCACAGGCGGCAAACGTGAGTGTATTGAGAAAGCTTTCAGATACTTGTTCAACGCGTTTTTACCCTTACGTGTACGAACAAACTGCTTGTGCTTTAGAAACCAATGATACAACACTAAAGACAGATATAACGACCACTTAAGCATATTTAACAGCTTATTCTAACACTTATAACAGCGTTCTCTAACGATATCGCGATTAACATCTTACATTCCACACCTTGTTATGATACAATCTATGAAAAGTGTCTGTTTAGTCTTTATATTTACCTGTAGAACAGAAGACACTGGAAACTCGCATCTGCCCTTTCACAGCTCTACTGATGTATGGAGCATGCGCAGTTTGCTCCTCGTCGCAACACTCAAATTTTATTTTAGTTTATATTTTATTTTTTGCTTTCGGTGTGAAGCAATATGCATTTGTTATTTTGCTCACAAAAGTATGGATAAACCTGCAAAAATAAATAAATACGCAATGAATGAGTAAATAAATCCACAAATTCCCGATGATTGATCATATCTATCTATGATGATTGACAGTCACCTTCCTTTAGCATGTTGACCTTGGGAAAAGTAAATGCGGATCTACGTGTTTTGTTTTATTTATGCAGGAATTTATGGATGCATTTATTTATGTATTTATTGTTTTACTTGTTGTTTTATTTATGTAGTAATTTACAAATTATTTACAAATTTATTTGCATATTTATGTATTGCTTTATTCATGTATTGTTTTGTTTATACAGACATTTATGGTTATTAATTTTTATTAATTTATTTGATTATTCATTTATTGTTTTATTTATGCAGGGATTTAATTTATTTAAGTAATTTATGTATTTACTTTATTTATTTATGCAGGAATTTGTGAGGGTTTAAGTTTATTTATTTGTTTGTTTATTTATTCTTTAGTTTTATCTTTAAATGCATTCACTCATTAATTAATTAATTAATTTATTGTTTTATTTATGTAGGAGTTTACGTATTTACTCATTTATTTGCACATTTATTTGTTTTATTTATTCACTGTTTTGTTCATAAGGGGAATTTATGGTTTTATTGAGTCATTTATTGATTTATTTGCATATTTATTTTTTGCATTTATGCAGGAATTTATGGATTTACTAAGTAATTTATTTGCTTTATGCAGGATTTGTGGATGTACTTTAATCATTTATTAAATTTTACATTTTTTAATTTATTTGCATATTTATTGTATTTGCAGGTTTCGTCCTCCATACAAACCCTGCATAAATGAGGTAATCGTAAAACTTTTATATAGTCTAACATACAACACAATTGTCATTTTACATATTTGTGAATCACTTTTAGATGCAATATTTTATTTTTTTTTTTAAACTGTGCATGAGGATCCAATAAGCTTTGTTTTCTAATCATAATTTTAGATGACCCGCAACAAATAGCCAAGTGTAAAAATAGCACTATAAAGGTAAAATGATTTTTCAATTAAAGTGATAGTTCTGTCAAAAATGAAAATCCTATCATTATTTGCTCATGCGTTACTTTTTTTCTGTTGAGCACAAAAGAAGATATTTTGAAGAAAGCTGGAAACTGCTAACCATTGCCTTCCACTGTATTTGTTTTTCCTACTATTAGGATTGAACTTTACTGTTAACAAACCATCATCAAAAAAACAAAAAAAAATGTGTGATGAGACCATTTATATATGTATAATGTATAATTGTATAATAAATGTATAATTTATTTATTTATTTATTTATTATTTGCAACCAACCGGTTAACTAAATCTTACATCTCAAGCTCATGTCAAGAATTCGTTACACTTTTTTTTTTTTTTCGGATGTGTTTGATTCAAGGGGTCAAATCTGTCATTGATACATTCTGCATTGTTTGTATGGTGGGTGTGTGTGTGGGTGGGTGGAATTGTGCTTGGAGGTGGATGTAGGTGGTATAAAAATATGGGCTGGTCTCTTTGTGCTCCTTTAGTAGTTCATTGTCCTTGACCTGTGTGGTGTTTTGGCATATAAAAAACAAAAGTCTTTCTTTTTTTTCTGCTTGGAGCATCAGAAGTAGAGAGAGAGAGTGTGATGGCCCGCTGGAATGTGACGTTGGCTCGTCTGGATCAGTCCCTGTCTTCATTGAAAAATCTGCTGCAGGTCAAGGTGACTCGCTCAGGCAGAGCACCGCAAAACTCCACTGTCCAGCCATTCAATAAGATCCCTGGACGATGGAGGAACAGCCTGCTCAGTGTCCTTGCCTTCACCAAAATGGGAGGCCTCAGGAATGTCCACCGAATTATGGTGCACAATTTCAAAACATTTGGTCCAATTTACAGGTAAGACACTAAAAAAAATAATATACTAGTAATTATTAATGCTGTTATTACTATTTAAATGGTTTCTCACAAATTTGACATCAGGAAAACTCACAGATTTACAGTTAAAGTCAAAATCATTAGCCCGCCCTCACGTGAACAATATTATTATTTTTATTATTTTTAATGGAGAGATTAATTTTCAATGCATTTTAAACAGAAGTTGGTTATCATTACTATATTATTTTGTCTTTTCCATGATGATCGTAGGCTACATAAGATTTTTCTGCTTATTTTGCATGTGTGCTGAAAATCTTCACAATGCAAACACAACTAGAAGCACATGCTGCACATCCTGAACACATACACATTAAGAAAATGTGCTGCAAATCCTCACAGAACATGCACATTTTGATTAAAAAAAAAATAATAATTTGACTGAAGTTAACATGTGGTTATGCATTATGTTGTCCTTTCCATCATTGTTTTCACTACTCTGGGGTGAATTATTTTTATTATTATTTTTTTTTGTGTGTGTGTGTGTGTGTGTGTTTTAATTTGGCAACTTTCTCTGTGTTTCAGCATATGAAATGATTTTTGGTGTTCAGTCTTATTTCAACACATTTTTGGAAAGTGCTTTAAAAGTTTTTAAAAAAACTCAACAATACCCTCTGGCCAAGTTTATCTACAACCCTTTCATTATGTTCTTGGCTGTTTTTGCCCCACTGGCTTTCTTTATTGGACCTGCACTACAACTTGCTGTTATATTCCATAAAATTCAATTTAAAAGCCAGAAACTTCTTTGCACAGGCCTATCTAAATGGTTAATGTTGCAAACTGATGATCAACAGTAAAAAACATAAATTTGACCTCCTCCCAACAGGGAAAACCAGCAACAATCAAGAAAGCATGATTTTATGGTGTCAAGGCTTTGAAATCAAAAGTGGTTATAATGGAAGTAATTGGGGCAAAAACAGCCACCGACATATTGAAAGAGTTGGAAAATTAAACAATACACAAGGGTTAATCTTGAAGTGTCTTGAGTTGATGTGTTTTCTCGTTATTGTTACATTTAACGCCAATAAGTTGAAAACCTTTTATATAAAGGTATTTTTATTGTCTTAAAACTCTGACTTTTACTTAGAACTTGGAATTGCAAGATAGTTATTTAGTTTAATTTTCATTTAGTTTGTGATGGAAAAAAAACTTCCATAGATTTCTTTGTTCTATTTTCATGCTGACTTCAGTTGTATGGAATGGGGTTAATGAAAATCTGCATGCTAGATCTCTCTCTCTCTTTCTCTTTCTCTCTCTCTCTCTCTCTCTCTCTCTCTCTCTATCTATTTATCTATCTATTTCTCTATCGATGTTTAGAGCTGGGAGATGGCATCAAACGTTCTTTCATTAAGCTACTTTCTTTTAAAGCCAGGGCTGCTACAAAACTTATTCAGATAATTTTGAATGATTTATTCAGCTTTTGCATTTGTAGTTAAAACATTGAGTTATTTATTCACTACCAGTCAAACATTTGACAAAGCTTTTGAATGTTTTAAAGGAATCCAATTCTATTCACCAAGGCTACATTAATTCAATCAGAAATAGAGGGAAAAAAATCAGTCGCTAAATATTTTTGTTAAATAATGTGGTTTTAAAAATTAGAAATTTATTCCTGTGATTTTTAAAGGCTGAATTTTTATAATTATTACTCCAGTCTTCAGCGTCACATCATCATAATGATTATTTGCACTTCTAATTAGTTATTGTTGTTACAAAATAAAAAAAATACTATTATTAAAACTATTTCTTGCTTTATAGCATCATGGAAGCTGTGATACATTTTGCTTTTAGGATGTTTTGATAAAAAAAAAAATACACAAATTCAAAATAACAGCTTTTTATTTGTTATATTTGCTTTACATTTTATAAATTTATTTTCATTTAACTTACTGTGATGAATAAAAGTAAATATATTTTTAATGGTACTTTTGAATGGTGTTTTATCGGTTTCCCAAGCTGACAGCAATAATAGTTCTTGAGCTGGTTATGAGTAAAATATTTAACGGGTTATGTGAGGACTAAGTATGCTTGATTCAGGTTTAAACCACCAGAATTAAACTAAACTATGTTCATTAAAATAGCAATCCCTTTTGGTGATCTGAAACATTAAAGTGTGGCAAACATGCAAAAGAAACCTCAGTATATTTGCAAATTGGTAATTCCAGGGGCTCTGAGGATGTTAGATGGTTATGCTTTTGTTGGTGCTTGTGCTTGGATACTCTGAGATGTTACATCTCTTAACCACATCTCTGAACCACCAACTGAATGCCATTCTACGAATTGGCTCATCACCAAAAAAAAACTAAAAGTGGAACTGCCTGCTTGATCACTAACTAACTTTTATTATTTTTGTAATGTAGTAGACATCTTTTGTTAGTTTAGGGATCTAGCAGGCATATAGAAGTGGGCTTGCAAACAACTTGTACTCCTACTACAACTGACAATAATTCAGTGAATGAAACTTCAATGTCATTTACAGCTCAAAATAAATGTGTTAATAAACATGAAAACAATTGAGTCTTTCTGTAGCTAAAATAGTGCTAGCAATGCTAATGTTTTGGGTTTGATTCCCAAGGAAAGCTATGAAATGTACACATTAAATAGCATATGTATAATTAGCTTTTTATCAGCCAATATAGAATAAGCCATTGGTGCATTCCTACATGCTGTAACAATATATGTATGTACAAATCCACTTGGACAGGGAAAAAGTTGGAATCTATGATAGTGTGTACATCATAAAGCCTGAAGACGGTGCTATCCTGTTCAAAGCTGAGGGCCATCACCCCAATAGAATCAATGTAGACGCGTGGACCGCCTACAGGGACTACAGGAACCAAAAATATGGCGTCCTGCTAAAGTAAGCAATGTTATTCAATACCTGCTATAAACATGTCTACTGGAATAGTAAAACATACTGATTTGTACCTGCAGAGAAGGGAAGGCCTGGAAGACTGATAGGATGATTCTAAACAAGGAACTGCTTTTGCCAAAGTTGCAGGGGACCTTTGTGCCTCTCCTTGACGAGGTCGGGCAGGACTTTGTGGCTCGTGTCAACAAACAGATTGAGAGGAGTGGGCAAAAACAGTGGACCACAGATCTGACCCATGACCTCTTCAAGTTTTCACTGGAATGTAAGAACTGACACCTTTAATGACATGTATTAAAGAGCCCCTATTACGTTTTTTTGAAAATTCTTTCATGCAGTGTGCAACACAGCTCTAAGTGTATGAAAACATTCAGCTGAGGGGTAAATCTGAGTGTGTTTTGTTAAAAAAAATAAATAAATAAAATTCGCCTCGTATGTATGTATGTATGTATAAAATATGTATCTGTGGAATTTATTATTTTGTACAATTTGATTTGCCCTCAAACTTTAATCCAATATCGTGACTCAAAACAACTTTTCTTTACTTTGATCACGCAGAATAGCTTTATGGCAGGGCTATCAGTCGTTTTGTGCGTAGCTATCAGTGTGTGACTCGTTTCTTTCCTACCTTACCAGAAGGCAGTTGAGTTTTTAATGTTAAATTTAGCTCCTCGTTCTCATCACTATCAGGCATCAGAAAGCATTCAGATGATTCCAGTGGACAAATCCTCTTCCATTTCTTCCAACGTTCCAGTCGGTTCCCAAATGATGAAATGCTTCACCACACTACTTTATTTTTTTATTTCTGAATCTTAACTTTTTATTTTATTCCAAATTTAAAACATTGAGATTTATTTTTTTTGTCAAAAAATGATAGGATAATCATACTTTAAACTTTGCATAAACCACATATTAGCACACCTGCCAACATTTGTCTCTGAAAGTTAGTTTTTTGGTGAGAAATAAGAAAACGGGAGGGTGGTTGTGAGAAATACAGGAGACTCCGGGGAAAATGGGAGTGTTGGCAGGTATGCATATTAGTGCAATTATGTTATGTTGATTACTTGATTGCCAAAGGTTTTAGGACTTTTTGGTATAATGATGTTTTGGTAAAATTGATCTGAATTAAATTTTTCTCCCAGCAATAGTTTACCCAAGAATTAAAATGGTGTATTATTCATTTGTGCAATACTCTACACCGATCCTAAACTGTTGAATGTTTTCTGTTTGTTTCTCAGCGGTGAGTGCTGTGTTGTATGGGGAGCGTTTGGGTCTGCTGTTGGACAACATTGATCCAGAATTTCAGCACTTCATTGACTGCGTCTCAGTCATGTTTAAGACCACCTCACCCATGCTGTACCTACCCCCGGGCCTGCTTCGGTCCATAGGGTCGAACATTTGGAAGAACCACGTTGAAGCCTGGGATGGCATCTTTAACCAGGGTAACTCAATGCTGACTTTAATATACAATTATTATTGTTTTTTTATTATTATTTTTATTATCAGGAAACATTTTCTTCAGAAACTTCAACTGATTTTTCGTCCCTTCTAATTTTTCCAAAAGCTGACCGATGTATCCAGAATATCTTCAAACAATGGAAAGAAAATCCAGAAGGCAATGGGAAGTATCCTGGTGTACTGGCAGTCCTTCTAATGCAGGACAAACTGTCCATCGAGGATATAAAGGCCAGTGTCACCGAGCTGATGGCTGGAGGGGTGGACTCGGTATGAGAAATAATTAATGATACACTTGTTTTATGACTCAGATTGGAGTGAGGTTTAGGAGGGAAACAGACTAACAATCTTGTTAGTGCACCTGTCTCCGGAAACACTCAGTTGAATCAAGCTTTGAGTGGGTAGAGCTAGAGAGACTACAAAGTAGTGATGACCCAGTTGAGATCAACCTTTAGGGAGGGATTTACATAAGCCATAAAAGAGATGTGTGAATAAACTTAATTTCCATGGCATAAAGAGGGCTGAAGTCCTAATCGTTCTTGTGTTATGTTGGTGCCGTGACCCAGCAAGGCATTTAGGATTCTTTGACAAACAAAAGCTCTCTTGTTCATTTCTTTTGTTCAGTTTATCAAGATCAGAGGAACATAAAAACATGAAGACACTAGAAAGCTTAAAAGTAGTACTAAAATCATAGTTGTCCATACAAAGAGGTCAGTGATGCCAAGAACTAAATACACAGGAGCCCAATGTGTTTAATTGTATGAACAGGACCATTCTTTAAAGCTGTCAAAAACAGATGAATCATTTATGGTAAATGCTGGAACTTCTCTTTTAATTTTGTGCTAACTTTTGAACTCTGTGTGTTTTTTTTGTGTGTGTGTGTATCTATGTGTGTGTGTCAGGTTACTTTCACAATGCTGTGGACGCTTTATGAACTGGCTCGACAGCCAGACCTACAGGACGAGCTCCGAGCAGAAATCTCAGCCGCTCGTATTGCCTTTAAAGGAGACATGGTACAGATGGTCAAGATGATTCCTTTGCTTAAAGCAGCCCTGAAAGAAACTCTCAGGTATACAAAGACTTCACTTTATTTTAAATGAATACATAGGGCAGTTAATAAAGCCGATAAGGGAAACATACAAAATATATCCTGTTGGTGTGGCTTCAGGAACAGGGTTGGGAAAACACTTACTTGAGGTGGCCATTAGTTTGGGGATAATGTGTTATAAGTAACACACGTTACATAATCTAACTTTTTTTTTTTTTAAAGTAACGAGTATAGTGACACATTATTTAAAAAAAAAGAAAAGACAGTAATGTAACGCAATTTACTTTTTACCTTGTTTAATTGGCTTTTACAAAATATATTGTAGAATAAAAATGACCATAGGTTGAATAACACCCTCAATAAGAGGGCGTGCTCTGAAGGAACAGACAGTCTGCTTGCTCTCATCATCAGGTCAGGTCAGGTCTCTCTTTTTTCACAGCAGCTTAGTGTACTGTTCTAGTAACTGAATAACTCTGGATAATAGTTTATTACGAGTCAGAGAGGGTATCAAGTATGTTAGTACTGAAGATGCAAACAGTTTCACAAAACCTTGGAGTGTCCTCCAAATTTATACACAACCTATTCATTTTATATATAATTGAAGTCCTTCATTTGCAACTCCATGCGCTGACTACTTCACCACTGTTTAGTTACTCTGAATCACCTCCTGTTGTTACAAATAATAGTACAACCACAAGTCTAAAAGCCTGTGACTAGCAGTGAAATATCTAACTGATCTGTCTAAATAAGATTTAAAGAGAAAGGTGTAACGTAACGCATAAAATGCATACAATTTTAAAAAAGACTGTAGAAAGCAAAAGCCGAATTCCGGCTGGGATTTCTAAATCCTAAAATGTGCGGAAGCTTTTTGTTAGACTTAAAAAGAGGACATGTCTGGAAAAAATAAACAGGGTGTATGGTCACCTTGATACTATTATTCAAGCTCCGATACGTAAAATGAACAACACCAAATGTCCTCCAAAAATCCAATGTAAATAGCCTTTTGGGTTGAAAACTGTGACGTGTAAATGTTTTCTAAAATCGACTTCTTTCTTTTGAAGATTACATCCTGTAGCAATGAGTCTTCCAAGGTACATCAATGAAGATACGGTCATACAAAATTACCACATTCCAGCAGGGGTGAGTGTGAATCAAAAGTTCCCTATGATGCGTTTTTCCCTATGATACCTTTCAGATAGTCTGTAATAAATCTCTTTGTGATGGTAAAATCTGCAATTTTTTACAAATCAAAGTACACAATAAATAGTTATTAGGTCAGATTTACTAACAGGCATTTTTGGTGATAAAACGTTACACTATGTACTTACTAAACACTCACAGAAAAGAATAGTGATTAAAAAGGCACGGACAGCTACTTTTGCGCTTGTGTAATGACCAATGCAATGCTTTTCACTAATATTTGTCTCGGGCAGTGCAACACATCTGCTTTACATAGTCATTTAGGTTGTTGACAGTGGCCTGTGGAGTGTTGGTCCACTCCTCTTCAATGGCAGAGTGAAGTTCACAAGTTTTGAAGAAGCATACTGACTGCAGGAATGTCCACCATAGCACTTTCCTGTGAATCGAATGTTCATTTCTGTAGCTTAAGCCATCTCCAAAAGCATTTCAGAGAATTTGGCAGTACATCCAACTAGCCTTAGAACTGCAGACCATGTGTATGCATACCTGACACTCACAAACAACAGCTTCACCTCCAAGATCATATTGAAAGCCCAGCCCCCAGTACAGCAGCTGCAACAATCTGCTGCATAAATCAAAATTTGCATAACGAATGAATTTCTGCACAAACTTGTAGAAACTGTCTTAGGAAAGCTCATTTGCATGCTTGCTATCCTCATCTGGTATTTGACCTGACTGCAGTTCGTCATTGTAACCGAATTGAGTGGGAAAATGCTCACATTCGATGGCATCTGGCACTTTGGAAATGTGTTTTCTTTATGGATTAATCCCAGTTTTCATTGTAATATTACAGTTCTTGCATGGTCAGCATACTCCCATGTCGCTAGAGCTGCACGATATTGGAAAAAAAACTGACGTTGCAATGTTTTGTTTTGTTGCAAATGCAATATATTTTGCGATATTAATGTAATTTAACCAGTTGACTTGAATGGCTCAATTTGGAGAAAATTACTGATTTTATACTGGGATTATAGACAGTTAAGGTTATTGCACATTGAATATGAAATTTTCGTCTGTAATTTTCTCATATCAGTCGTATTGACACACTGCCCCTGAAACCTTCCTCTGTTACAAAATTTTTTAATTGGTTTCGTTATTTATTTTTTTCTCTTTGCATCTGAAAAAGTGGTTTGAGAGGCGTTTTAACCGTTCAGAGCCACCTAAATGCAGCTAAAACGCTGAATGCAGAATGCTGTAATTTAAGCTAGAGATAACTTTATGAAAAACACAGTGCATAATATAAAGAAAACTTGGTGGATAGTTGAACCCCTTTATGTGCTGGATTTAATGACTTGCGCACCTCTCCCCTGTGGCAGCTTGGTGTGTGTATTTGTCTCTGAAAAGCATGGTCCACTTTTGGCTGGTTGCTTCAACTTGCCAACGTACAAGGTACTGCCAGTCTCTATTCAGGATTTGTTTAAGTACATGAATGTGTAACGCATCACAAGCAATGTATCAAAGTTTTACTGAATTCCTGAAATGAAATAAACTGCATTTCGGGATTATCAGTGCAACTCTTTGATAATAAACTGATCTCTTCTTCCTCAATGCAGTATTTGATTAACAAAATATGCAGTTTCTTCTTTCCCTTTCTTATTTGGAGAAAAAAGCATTACTGCTTGAACTGACTCCGAAATGTTTTGCATTTTTTCGTAATGAATTTATGAATACGCATTAGACCCCGTGTGCAAGGTTTGTTTACGTGACGAATTTCTCACATATGAATACGAAAAACACATAGGAAAATTTCCGACTTCAGTGTGCAAAGACCTTAAACTGGCCTGTAGAAAGAGACTCTTTCTTGGTGAAAGAGGTGTTTCTTTTTTACTTTTTTTTTTTTTTTTGTGCAGTTATTCACTTCATTTTTTTTTTCTTTTTATTTGAGGTTAAAATACTGCATTTTTTAAAATGAAATTTAAAAATGGATTTGCTTGTTGGATGGTCATGATAGCCTCAATTTTTAATGAACCAAAAACACTTCCTAATTGTTTAGAGAAAAAAAAACTTATTTTTAAATAAATAAATAAATTTTTTATTATTTTTAAAATGTAAATTTATCACATCATGTAATTAGAAAAACTGTAGTCTATTGTTATTTGTAAAGCAAATAACAAACTGGAAATCACATTCAACATTCCTTGTTGTGAATTTGAATGATAAAAAATTTGAACAAAAACGTAGAGCATCCCGATTTTTGTACTCTCTCTTGTAAAATGGCACATTTGAAAATTCATAGATCACACCAAAAGCCTAATTGGTAGTAAAATCAGCTTTAATATGCTTCAGGATGACCTTTTAGTGCTTTAATCCTTTTTTATTGGTCATTTTTTCATTCAAGAGTAAGGTCCAAGATAAGTTACTTGTAAACTTTATTCTCTATTTAACAACAATACAGGAGGTTAGAAGTGAAAGTTGATCACTTATGCCAGATTCCGCTTGGTCAAAAAGTTGCCTTTTGATTTATTTTTTACAATTTATAGTGGCATAACGGTCAAAATAAGACAACTGTGCTCATTTATGGGACAATATCTGGACCTTTGCCAGTGGGGGGTAGCTCTTTAAACCACCCGATCTCCTCTGGCTATGGGCCTGCCTTAATGAAAAGGACATTTTTGAATATGGTGAATGGCTTGAATATAATCAAATGTAGCGATAATGTCAGATAAAAATATAATTTTATATAAACAAATGTTTTAGATGGACTTAAAATCTTACAGTTAACATTATAGCTATAATTCCACTCAAATTTTCTGAGGGATCAATTAACTGAACATGAACTCAACATTGCATATTCTGCACGCTGAAGAATCACGTTAATTATTGTGTATTTGCACATTGTGAAACGATATATTGTGCAGCCTTACATGTTACCTATTAAGCATGTTTGGAATGGCGTATACAACAGTATTCACATGTTCCAGTTTCTGCCATTATCCGGCAACTTCGCACAACCAATAAACAACCTGGGGTGCATTCCCAAACAACGACGCAACTCTCAGTTAAACTATCATTGTATGATGCATCGTTTGGGAAACTACGTATGTGGTGTAACAATTTGCACAAAAAACTATAGGTTAGCCAACAAGCCCATGTTATATAGGCCTACAGTACATATCCATTTCTTAATAAATCTACTATAAATGGAAACCATTAATGTATGCTATATATTTTTTTATTTCCACAAGGTAAATTACGCTTTTAAATAATAGATCACCTATAGCTTCACATGAGCCACGGCTGCATTTTAAATGGCATAAATGTTTTGAATGTTTTTCAATCAAAGTGCACTAGTAATAATAACAATAATAATAATTTCCTAAGCCCTGCTTAATATGAAGATGATCACTAAAACTGAACTGTAAAAATACTTGGAAAGCAAATTACACCTAAGAGAGATGACCTTTTAATGTTGTTGTTGTTGTTGTTTTATAATTTCAACTAGACCTGGTGACTTTTTTTGTTTTTTGGACCCTCTTGTTTCTTTCATTTAGGCTATTCATTCACTAATTTATTACTTTGCATTACTGCCTAAGTTACTGAGTTAATGCAGTAATATACTTTTTTAGTAATAATAATATGCACAGTTTCACTATTACTGACTCTATCAATGAAGCTTATGCAGCGATACCATTTACATAAATGCAGACAGATCATGGCTTCAGCGCCAAATGAGTAGTTTTTATTTTACTCTATATATTTCCTTCCATTTTTATTTCAAATAATATAAATGTTTAAAGTTTTAGGTAAAGATGTCAAACTATGCCAACACATCCAAGCTAACCCACTATTCATAAAACCGGTAAATAAATATAGTAAAATAAGCATAACAGAGTCATCACGCTTCATGTAGCCTATTACCCTGTCAACAGCAGTGTGTTAGAAAAAAGTAAAATGTTACAATCCAATGTCATTAAAAAAAAAAAAATAGAAGCTAAATATTTTACTTAGTTACATTTTTAAGGCATTAGTGTAGCAAAACAGAGAGCCTGTCTACCTCAAAAAAGGAAAGAAAAAGAGGGTTACATTTTGACATAACACGCAACTCTATAGGCAATATAACTTTTTGTTAATATTTTAAAGGTAATAGTTATTAATGTTAGGCTATCATAAGTGGGGTTTTTTTCATGAAATTGTCCCGATGGCATTTGTAAGAACATCATCATAAACCATTAGGTTACTAAAGGCCTACCTGTCATTTTATTTATTTATTTACCTTATTTTAATAACTTTTTTTCAGGTTACATTTTCATTATTAGGGCCATGAACGAGTCAAAATAAAATCAATAAGCTTTAGTCGTTAAAATAGGTCTACAGGATATTTTCTGGTGTTTAGTAATGAATTAGGCTTCACATCATCCACTTGTCCAGTTTTCTCCCATGTTTAGAGTTTAGAGTGCGCTTCTGCCACCGTGTGCACGCTTTAAATGCTATGGGCACACCTGACTTGAAGCGGTGACCTGATCTCTGAGATTGCTTTAATTTCACAATTTTCATAATTTTTCATATTATGAAATATCTAAATGTGTGTTCTGAAGGTTGGAATGAAGGGAGTATTAGGAATTAATGACAAAGGATTTTCAGTTTGGAGTGAACCAGGGGCATCACTAGACCCCACTTACTTGGGCACGTGCCCCATTAAAAATCGCCAGTGCCCCAGTAAATTCTTTGAGATACGATTTACTTATTATGCAAGTGTATTTATTAAAACTGGTAATACCAGAATAATATTCTCATTATATTCTCTATGTGCAACCGAGCCAACACTGATGATGCGCTGCTTATGCTCCGTGCCCCAGTTGTGAACATGTGCACGGAAAATGCGCATTTATTGTGAAACCAGCGTAAAAGCCTTTAATGGATAGTTGTCGGCATGCAGTGAGTTTTGCAAGTCGACAAAACTAAGTTTATATAAATTGATGGTGATCTTATTAAGCAAGCCTGACTTTTTTTGAATGAATCAAAAAAGAGGGGTGATAATTCAGGGAGGTGAAACTTAATAAACAAATTCTCTGCAATGTGTCAAGTCTAAGAAAACTTACTGCTAGGCCTGCTTGGGGTGGGGGAGGGGGGGTAACTGGCAATGCAACACAACAAGAGGTGTAGTTGTATGCGCGTAAAAGTTTGCAATGCATTGTTCGTTGGAACGATGGATTCGAAAAATGCCAAAACAAGGAATTTTGTTTGTAACTGCGGAACTTGTGACCCTAGTTGGCTAATGGTTTTTGGAAACACATCCCAGAATAACTCTATATGTGAAGCAAATGGTGGTAGATCTTTCATTGCTGTTGAGTGCTGTGCTAATATATTTGAACATATTCTTCTGTTCTGGGCCAGACTTTAGTTCAGCTGGGTGTCTATGCTATGGGTCGTGATCATCAGTTCTTCCCGAAACCAGAGCAATACTGTCCCTCTCGTTGGATCAGTTCTAACAGACAGTACTTCAAGAGCCTGGGCTTCGGCTTTGGTCCCCGCCAGTGTCTGGGTCGCAGGATTGCCGAGACTGAAATGCAGATCTTCCTAATTCATGTATGTGGACTTTTAAGGCTAGGAACTTAATATCCTTAGAAAAATAACATTGTGAAGACTTTTTTTAACTTTTGTTGTTCTTCCTTATAGATGCTGGAGAATTTCAGGATTGAGAAGCAGAAGCAGATTGAGGTCAGGAGCAAGTTTGAGCTCCTTTTAATGCCAGAGAAGCCCATCATGCTTACCATCAAACCACTGAATGCCAGCAGATAGCAAAGCGTTTCTTATAATTTAAAGAGATACTTTAGTGTTTACTCACCCTCACATAATACCAAAACCATTCAACTTTCTGTTGAATTTATTCAAACAACATCTGAAATTAATTTATCTGTTTTAAAATATCTATTGGTGTCATCCACAGAAAAAAAAGGCGAGTAAATAATGAAAAATATAGTCTAAGAGTTTAAAGCAACACTTTGTCTTAAGGTGTCCTTATTTAATTCATATGTATATCCCTGTTAATATGCCTGGATCTGTTATTGTGTGTGAGTTGGGCACTATAATATGAGACCATGATCCTTTTAAATGTAAATTTGATATTCTATTATGCTGGGATATATTGTGATATGAATAACATTTCAGTGATTTGCAATTTCAATTATTTTATTCTATGTTGTTCTAATAAATCTTGCATATTTTTATCTGTGAATCAATAAATTGAAATCTCATCTACATAAGACTCCATGTTCTCTGATAAGAACACTGTAGTGGTTAGCTCTCTTCATTATTTGATGTTGAATGCTGAACTGAAGCCTTACTATAATAAACAATTCATTAATGCATAATAATGCAAATTACACATGACTAACTCTTAACCCAAACCACATTCCAAACCTAACCACATAGTACATGTGCTTAATTAATATTACTTGGTATTAAAATGAATAGTTACACTGTAATGTGGACACCTTAAAGTGAAATACAATTTAATAATTTTCTTGAACTATTTTTCATCATTTTAATGTAATCCAGGGGTGCCCAAACTCAATCATAGATGGCTGGTGTCCTGCAGGTTTACTTCCAACCCCAATCAGGCACACCTGGGCTAACTAATCAAGCTCTTACTAGGTTTTATAGAAACATCTATGCAGGTGTGTTGAGGAAAGTTGGAGCTAAAATCCGCAGGACACCAGCCCTACAAGACCGAGTTTTGGTACCCCTGATGTAATCAATCGTTAAATTCAGAAAACATCAGCAATAGAGTATGAGTACAGAGGTTGTGGCAACACATTTTAATAAATATCCTGCTGTCTTCCTACATTTATTTAGAAATAAATCAGTCGATCAGTCCAAATTGTTCAGATCAATTGTTTTATTTATTGTTCTAATAAGTCACTTGAAAATATTCTATAAGGTATTGTAAAGAAAATACACACACTGTTGTCACTTCAGAGATTCCAGCTGCCTCAGCTGAGTGTGTCCCAATACAGAATCAGTCACACTTATCTCCTAGGAAATAACGAAACAGGGGACACTTTCTAAAAACATGTCATTTTAGTGAGTCATTACTATTTTTAAGTCATTCCGGGCGACAAGGAGGCTCAGTGTTTAGCATTGTTCCCTCACAGCAAGAAGGTCGCTGGTTCAAGTCAGTTGACATTTCTGTGTAGAGTTTGCATGTTCTCCCCGTTTTCATATGGGTTTGCTCTGGTTTCCCCCTCTGTCCAAAGACATGCACTACAGGTGAATCGGGTAAACTAAATTGGCCGTAGTGTATGTATGTGCATTTGAGTGTAAGGGTGTTTCCCAGTATTGGGTTGCAGGCGGTTCATTCCAGTGTGGTGACCCCTGGTAAATAAAGAGACTAGGCCGACAAGAAAATTAATGAATGAAACTTATTTTGGCAATATGGCGCAGTAGGTAGTGCTGTCGCCTCACAGCAAGAAGGTCGCTGGTTCGAACCTCGATTTAGATGGCATTTCTGTGAGGAGTTTGCATGTTCTCCCTGCGTTCGCCTGGGTTTCCTCCTGGTGCTCCCATTTTCCCCACAGTCCAAAGACATGCGGTACAGATGAATTGGGTAGGCTAAATTGTTCTTAGTGTATGAGTGTTTGTGTGTGTGTGTGTTGTGTGGATGATTCCCAGAGATGGGTTGCGGCTGGAAGGGCATCCGCTGCGTAAAAACATGCTGGATAAGTTGGCGGGTTATTCTGCTGTGGCGACCCCGGATTAATAAAGGGACTAAGCCGACAAAAAAATGAATGAATGAATGAAACTTATTTTACTGTAGTATTTTCTTTGGAGTCTTTCATCTCGATTTACTCTTGATCATCTAAATGAATACTGAAGTCTATATAACTGATTATACTTTGTTATACTGATTATACAACATTGATGCTTGTGAAACTATAAATAATAATCGCATTAATTTTTCACAGGAAGTTTATCAGTGGCTGAAAACACTAGCTGTGCATGTTCCCCATTGGATTTTGTCATTTAGAACATATATGATTACTTGAAGATTGCATGTAAACACATGTATTAGTCTGTGCTACCTAGAGTTTAATGACTGAATGTAACTTTTATTATCTAGGCTAAACGAGTAATAATAACTGCACATCATATACTCACCACAGGTAGATCATGAAGAATCATGGCTGAAGTCCGAGCAAATCCACGTTCATATTCACTGACTCGTGTCAACATCTCTTGTTTCTCTTTCCCCCACAGTTTGGCGTTCTCTTTTAGCTGAATCAAACATTCGCAAATGAGTAATATTACAAAATTTGTTCAAAGTATTATTTATCTTGTATGTAAATTTTTATAAATAGTTTATGTTGACTGTGCATTTTCAACTGGGTTGCATGCCCATAAGTTCCAAAAAACATACCTCGGAAACCAACATTTAGGAATTTATGAGCATGTAAAGCAACCCCTAACACAAAACCTAACCATTCGTCAACAATAAAACAGGAAATAGCAGGCTGATACAACTACAGTCTTAATTCATTCAAAAGATTAGAATTTTCCAAATCTATTAAGGCAGCACAAATTATTTCTGAGAGATGCGATTGTTGCCTCCATTTACCATTTAGCTCTAATGCTATGTCACAAATTACATCAGTTGTTGAATGCTATTGACTTACTCTGTGTTTCATGTCTGATTGCGTCAAATATTATTGGCTTCCACTGTGTTTCATGACTGATTGCATCAAATGCTATAGTCTTCCACTGTGTTTCATGACTGATTGCATCAAATGCTATAGTCTTCCACTGTGTTTCATGACTGATTTAATCAAATGCTATAGTCTTCCACTGTGTTTCATGACTGATTTAATCAAATGCTATAGTCTTCCACTGTGTTTCATGACTGATTTCATCAAATGCTATAGTCTTCCACTGTGTTTCATGACTGATTTCATCAAATGCTATAGTCTTCCACTGTGTTTCATGACTGATTTCATCAAATGCTATAGTCTTCCACTGTGTTTCATGACTGATTTCATCAAATGCTATAGTCTTCCACTGTGTTTCATGACTGATTTCATCAAATGCTATAGTCTTCCACTGTGTTTCATGACTGATTTCATCAAATGCTATAGTCTTCCACTGTTTCATGATTAAGTCAAATGCTGTTGGTTCCCTCTTTGTCTTGTGACTGATTGGTAGGCCCAAACGGAATCTGCATGCACAGAACTCCTCAGATGTTTAGGCTATCATTATTTCTGTTTATTTACTTGTGTTTATGAGTGTAAATTTATAGTTATTCAGTTTTTAAATTAATTTCAGTAATAATGTTGACTAATGTGAAAATATTCATATAAATTATTTACAATACAGCTTGTAAAGTAATATTTTCTGTCTTTTAGTAGATATATAATATGAGAGACTTGCTTTGTTTACCAAATAAAGTGGATTTAATTGGATTTGCATAGTAAACATTAAATAAAAAGTTAAAAAGTATTAGTTGTTATTTCATTTATTAGGTTTTTAGTTATTATGATACTCCCAAAATCATTCTGCATAAATTTGCAGATTTTAAACAAAATTCTCAGCAGAAATATCACAAAAAGTCCGCAGATTCTGTCTGGCCCTACTGATCGGGTCAGGATAATATGCTGGAGCATCTTTTTTTAATTGGAGGATAACAGTGAGCAAGAGCCTATAGAATTAAATAATAATATGAGGCACAATGTCTAATTCAACAGATTAGACTAAATTGCATAAAAATTCAATAGAATAAACCCGTGTTGTCAGCAGCGATGTTGCCAAATCTGTAGTTTAACCCATGAAGTTTGTACTACCAACAGAAAGGTTGAATTAGTGTTGGTTGCATTTTGTTAAGCAGACATAGCAACCCTGTTTGCATCGAGGGAGAACGGGAAATACAGCCGTGAATGGAATCAACTGCAACACCGGATTGTTTTCAGTCATTAAAACCTCATCACACAAAGACTATGTATTGCTTAGAGGACTTGTTTTTTTTTTTCAATAAATACATGCGATTCCGTGGCATATCAAGACATGTTGCAAGTTAAATTAACTCTAAGATCTTACAGTTTGACAAAAAGATCATGTTCGTACAGTCCGAAATGTTTATTTTAGCTAGAAGGAATAAGTGTATTAAATTAAATTAAAGTTTGCTTTTGAGTTGTGTTGTGGATCATATAAAGACTAAATTTTAATTATACTCAACAAAAGTTATGTATTTATAACTTTATTTTGTGATTTTAACATGTATGAAAACTGAGGCAGAAATTAATATCAAACTCTGCATAAACAGTTAAAGAGTTTTTGGCCTCCTTTTTACAGAAAATCAGAGTAAGAGCTGAGTGATATGACACGATGCATAAACATGCATTAACTTATATTCAGCAGTTTACATGTGATTGTTGCCTCATTATAAACATACATACATTACAAAATATAAGCATTAACAAGATAACATAAGTAATTCCAGACCTTATGCCTCTGAATGTGTTTATAATACTTTTTCTAAATTTCGAGAATTTTCCAAATGTTGATAATGAACTGTATTGAAATAAGATACACCATGTCTGGTTGCTGTTAGCTCCATAATGGTAGTGTGGGTAGTGGGGAACCACATACCTAGCAAGTATAATACAAGCATAGATAAACTTGGAAACAAGGGAAGAAATGAGCATTATTGTTATCTTATAATAAAATGTGAATTTGTTCCGATTGAGCAGTTTATCACTGAGATTTTACACTCACAGGATTTACATGTGAACAAGGAAACAATGGTGTTTGTGGCTCACAATATGCCATTTCCATGTACTAATTTCTTATTTGTCAGCTATACCTATTAGGTTTATTCAGATCTTGATTATTTATTATTTTTAGCATTGTGATTACGCCATACCTACTTTTGGAGAAATGTACAAATGTGATTTTTTTACTTTCACTTTCAGAACTTTAATCTTCCACATAACTATATGGATAAAAGTTAAATGTCCTAATAACATTTAAAATCAAACCTGCTGCTCCAGTGTCTGGATTTGACCCTCAGCTCTCGCCAGTTGTGTCAGTAATTCCAGTTTCTCACTGTCTGAGAAAGGCTGATATAAGGACTGAGATTAAAACCAATAATGAAACTAAGTGTTGTTCAAACAGGTTGTCAGTAGTTTAATTATCAGTAGTCTGAGGTTTACCTGCGCAGGCTGTTGAATGATGATTGGTGGAGGGAGATTACGCAGCCTATCCAGCTCTTCTCTGAGTCGAGAGTTTTCTGCCACAAACACAGACTCGATCTCTCTTCTCTTCTCCTCTTCATCTTTATAAATTCAACACATCAGATTGTCAGGCATGAGTGTTTTGTCCTTTTTAATTTATTAATTTTTCTTCAGCTTAGTCCCTTTGTTCACCAAGGGTTGCCACAGCAGAATGAACTGCCAACTTATCCAGCATATGTTTTCCAGCTGCAACCCAGTATTGGGAAACATCCAAACACACTCATTCACCCACATACACTGCAGCCAATATAGTTTATTCAATTCACCTATACCGTATGTCTTTGGACTGTGGGGAAAACCAGAGCACCCGGAGGAAACCCACGCAAACACGGGGAGAACATAAAAATTCACCTGTGAGGTGACAGTGCTAACTACTGAGCCACTGTGTTCCCCTTTTAATTCATAACAATGGTAAATAGAGTGCTATATATTATGGAAAAGAAAACTAATTATGATGCTGGCCAGATTCGAACCCAAATTTCCAGAATGAGCACCAAAACCACTAAGCCATGGCTCTGACTATTGAATAGCAACGGAAACTAATTAAATATCAAAACCAGATGTTTAAACATGCCTTTTTGTTTCATGGCTGCTTTCTTCTTCTCTGAATTGCCTTTTCTTCTTTCCTTCAGATTTGCATCCAATAATTTCTCCATCTTCTCAATGACCTGCTCGGTGAATTCAAACAAACACAAAACTTAATTATAGTAGATGTATAAAGGAATCATCCAACCATCACTTTTAGTAACCAAATCCACACACACACAAACATTCAGTATATAAACTTGTATAACGAAAAAGGAAACATTTGCATCATTAATTAATTTTTCCCACTAAAAATGATTGTATAATGAGTTAATTCACTCTTTATTTGTTTTGTTTTTTTACTTTCTTTATATTGACAAGAAAAGGGTGTGGCATCTATATACTGGATGTGATTATAGACTTGCAGGTATATTTTACATATCCAAGATTAAGTCTACCTTTCATCTCTTTTGTGTGGTTATTAAGTTAAATAAATATTTGCACATAGCACATATTTCAGAAACACATATTTTCTGTATTAATTTATAATTTCAGTTTATGAAAAACAAGATAATTTTTGTGTCTGTTCCTTCTTCCTGGTCAACTCTATTACATTGGTAATAAAAAGGCCTTTTAAAATACACTGTAAAAAAATGTTGGAGGAGTTGGAGCTCAAGCTCCCCCTTATTGGAGTCCTTTTCTGCAGCAAGCAGTGTCTTAGAGGTCATGGTCTTTAACCTTCTTGTTTGAGCAACTCGTTGCTGCGATCTCAGCTCAGAGTGGGTTGGGTGTTGTAGGACAGCATTTTCAAGGACAGGGACAAGGACAGCATTTTTACCCGACCAAAGTGAAGAGCGAGGGGAGCGCAATGTTTATGAAAAGTGGGGTGCTCCCTATGGCCAGCGTAAAGGCTGATTTATACTTCTGCGTCATACTTATGCCAGCCTTCACACAGTAGCACTATATAAATGTCAGGAATTCATTCATTCATTTTCTTTTCAGCTTAGTACCTTTATTAATCTGGGGTCGCCACAGCGGAATGAACCGGCAACTTATCCAGCACAGAATGCCCTTCCAGCCGCAACCCATCACTGGGAAACACACACACTCATTCGCACACTCATACACTGCTGTCAGTTTTTAGCATACTTAATTCACCTGTACCGCATGTATTTGGACTTGAGGAGAAAACCAGAGCACCTGGAAGAAACCTATGAACACGGGGAAAACATGCAAACTCCACACAGAAATGCCAACTGACCCAGCCGAGGCTTGAACCAGCAACCTTCTTGCTATGAGGCGAATGTGCTACTCACTGTGCCACCATGTTGCATGTCAGGAATTATTATTATTAACAATATAAACATAATACTCTATTGTAATACAGTACAAACTAATAATATAACGTTTTATATGTAATGAATTTTCCACCATCCCATGAAACTATATTGATTGGCTATATTGATGTTTTTTGATAGCTTTATTATCTGGTGGTCTCTAAATGCACAAAAAGGCATATAGTTGTATAGAGAACATCTAAATACCTTTTCTTGTTGGCGAACTGTGTCCTCCAGTGCAGTTATTTTCTTGTCACGGGTCTGGTATCGTTTTAACACAGCCTGCTGCTGTTGATGTGCTCTTTGCAACTGGACAAACTGTTTCTCAATGTCATTCTTCTGCAATAAGCAAAAATAGAAGACAAAATAAGCAAAAAAAGACAAAAAAAAAAAAATAAAATAAAACTAAAGTGTGAATTTTATTTTGACAACAGGAGACGCAAATTGTTTACTTTGCATTACTGAGCAATGACTGCATGGGACAAGTTTAAACTTGCGTCATGAAGCAAAATGGAGGATTTGCAGATTATATATTTATTCAGCTTCACACCAAAGAGGCATAATGTATATTTAATTGTCTCTTTTGCTAATTTATCGTGTTTATTTTAAAATTTGATGCGTATGTTTCAACAAACACTTGTAGGCTACTGAATCTTGTCAAATCCCCCAACTGTCATTTGTTGATGCAGGGGTTGATATTAAATCCTTGCTGTGTTTTCTTTGACATTATTGCTTAAAAATACAAGACAAAAAAATCTTTACCGGAATCTTTTGTCAAGTACAATTATAATATAGCCTTTATCCACAACAGATCTCGTGAGCAAAATAGGTTAACGTTACTCTGATGGGTTTATACCCTCTCCATGTAGTTAGTCATTCACTTTGGAATTTTTTTTTTTGACTAATTAAGTATTATTACGTTGCCATTGTTCAGCATACATCATGCTGTGTGTGTGTCTGTGAGACACACCTGTCAACATTGGGATATGAAAATAAGGGACACCCCAACCTCTCGGTTATATTTTTCGTTTGATTACATTAAATATCTGAGGTGTCACTTTAAAAATGCACACATAATGCAAACATAATGAAAGAATTTGATTGCTTTTTTGCTCATTTAGGACAAAAGTTGTTGTGTTTAAAATAAACCAACCAGGATCGACATGTTTAGATATTATTATTATTATTATTATTATTATTTTGTGTATACACTGTAAAAAATTCCTGTAAATTTACAGCGAAAATCAACAGCAAAATACTGTTTTAATGTAAAAACAGCTGGTTGCTGTTTTTTACAATGCATCATGGGAAGACTTGCTCACTTGAGCTTGAGTGGTTGAGCAACAACAGTAAGGGCACTATAATTTAACAGTTTTATACCATATTTTTTGTGCGCACACAAGACGACATTTTGGATTCACCACATGAGGTAAATTTGCAGCTCCTTATGAGACTATCTTTAAAGTACCTGTTAGTTTATTAAATCACATGTAAACATCCAATCAGCACACAAGTGCAACATTTTTTAATGCATGATTTGACTGTGTGGATTTAAAAAGCAAGATACAGCCTAGCATAAGGACTTGGCAGTCCTCACATAACTTAAAGAAATTTTGTTCAACCTAGATGGATATTTTACCTGAACTTTTAGTAAAAAGTTCAAAGATTAAACATTATAATTAGTGGTTACACAAACTGGTCTTATGCCCCGCATTTTATGACTGATTTGAACTGCGTGCCTGTTTGTAACTCCATAGTAACAGTTAGGCTACTTACAAGAAGGATCATTTGGATATTTCAACAAGGTAAGACGCTCTATCTGTGATCATATTACGTTTAAATTACCTTTTAAATTGAAATATTATGCCATAAACAACCAATCGACACATAACCAAAGCACCTGCTTATGCAATTACAGGATTTGACCGTGTGAGAGGAGGGGTAACGTTAGCCTAATTAGCAAGCTAACGATAGCTGAAGGACTTGTCTTCACATCACACGCAGGTAAGAATGTTAAACCTAGATTTTACATAAACTTTGAGTGAAGATTGTACAGAATCTATTTTTTTTTCATGTGGTTACACGCGTAACTTGCGCATTCGGTCCATTTTATTACAGATATTCATTTTTATTTGCAACTCCGATGCTTCTAAAAGTACCTTTTAAGATTGAGTGTGACCTTTGTCATTTTTGCCGTTATTCCGGTAACGTTATATAGAAGTTACGGTCAGATTTTATGCTCGGTAACGTTAACTAAAGTTGCAGTGTTCAAAACACTTCAAGATTATGAAACTGGCGAAGGTTTTAATCTTTACAAGTAACGTTAAGGAGTAACTGTGAACATGCATGTTGTTTGATTACAGTACGTTAGTATTATAGCGGCAATACAAGACATTTTGCAGTGTCAACCATTTTATGATTATTTCATAGTGAAACTCGACGTAATTGGTTGACTATTTAACTATCTTGTTATAACATTATGTATTCTTGTCAGAGTTGTAAAGAAACATGTGGTACTGTTGTGTCATATGTGAAACATATGAAAATACACACGAATGTTTCAAATATTGTTTTTCGTTGCTGCATTCCTAATTGTAAAAGGACATTTAAAAAATATGCAGGTTTAAAATCTCACGTTTACAGGCACCATAAAGGATATAGGACAGAAAACACATTGTGCGCTACACTTTCTCTACAATGCCATGTTGATTTCTGTAGTGCCACATGTTCTTCTTTATCTGAATTTTTCTCTCATCTGAAAATGCACATTAAAGAGGGTAGAAAAGTGACATGTCCTTTTAACAACTGTGGTAAAACGTTCACCATTGTATCAACATTTACCTCTCATTTGACTAGAAAACATAAAGAAAATGCAAGCTTAAATGACTCCATTACAGCAACCCCTGAAGGCAGCTGCTCACAGGTTCAGAACACTGATTTTCAGTCTGATACACAGAGTGATGCTGCTGAGAACTATGAAGAACCAGATGTTAGTCCTGAAAATGTTGATGAGAGTTTGTTTTTAAGGAATCTTGCCCTTTTCTATTTGAAATTGCAAGCAAAACTATTGCTTCCAGCCTCAGTCATCCAGACAGTGATTGAAGATATGCAGTCAATACATGAAATCAACCAGTCCCATTTGCTTTTCAGACTTCAGCAAAAGTTAATCTCACTTGATGTTCCAGAGGCAATGGTAACGATGGTACTTAATGATCTTAAAGCTGAAGACCTTTTTACTTCATGTAATAATCATATATTAAGATCAGATCAGCGTAGAAAAACATTTTTCAAGAAGAACTTTAATTATGTTGAGCCACTACCCATATGTCTAGGACAGAATGAAGCAGGTAAAGAATGTTTCATACAGTATGTTCCAGTTAAACAAACCATTGAAGCTCTTCTTTGCTGCGAGTCTGTCAGGGAACAGTACAGTAAAATGCACAGTCGTGTCCAAATGAAGGACATTTTAAAAGATGTGTGGGATGGTGAAAACATCACTGCAAATTTGCAACATGCAGATGAGTCCGCATTAGGCTTAGTCCTATACCAAGATGCTTTTGAGGTTGTGAACCCTTTAGGGTCTGGGAAAAAAAAGCACAAAATACTTGCTATGTATCTCACATTAGCAGATCTGTTTCCCCATAACAGGTCAACTACGGACCAAATGCAGTTGGTGTTTCTTTGCAAGGAACAAGACTTTAAGTACTTTGGTCAAGAATTGGTCATGAGGTGCTTAGTCAATGACCTTAAAGACCTTGAGAGTACAGGTGTAAATTTTCCAGATGGACTGAATGTAAAAGCAATCTTGCGGGCAATAGCTGGTGACAATTTAGGCTCACATAATATTGGTGGTTTTCTGGAGAATTTTAGTGGAAGCACATACTTTTGCAGGTATTGTGAAATTGACAAATTTGCATTTCAGGAAGATCCACTTGCCAGGGCCACATTTCGCACAGTGCAGTCTTACAAAGACCATATTAAGAACCTTGATGTGGGATTGATCCAGAGTCGAGGTATCAAGTTTGATTCATTGTTTAATGAGCTTTCCTACTATCATGTATGCCAGCCAGGGTTGCCCCCTTGCCTTGGACATGATTTGTTTGAGGGTGTTGTGTCATATGATCTTGCTTTATGTATTAAACATCTTGTAAAGGTTGACAAACAATTTACTTACCAGGAATTAAATCGAAGGATCAGTCAGTTCAAATTTCTAGGTAATGACAACAGTGACAGACCTTGTGAGATTAACCCAGGAAGTGAGAAGCTAAGTGGACATGCTGTCCAGAACTGGTGTTTTTTGAGAATGCTACCAATGTTGATTGGTGACAAAATTGAATCACCGGGTATGAATGAGGTTTGGCAACTCATTTTAGTATTAAGGGAAATTGTTGCACTTGTTTGTGCACCAGCCATTTCCAGTGGCCAGGTAGGTTATTTGAGAGTTTTGATTGATGAGTATCTGCATTGTAGGAAACACCTTTTTCCTACACACTCTCTGAGACCTAAACATCACTATCTTAGCCACTACCCAGAGCTAACTGTTTATTTTGGACCACTCATACGCTTATGGACATTACGCTTTGAGAGCAAGCATATGTATTTTAAACAGTGTGCAAGAAAACTGCACAACTTTAAAAATGTGTGCTTAACTCTTGCAGAAAGACATCAGCTTCTGCAGGCATTTCTTGGTGCTGGTGAGCTGTTTCCTCCTGCTATTACTGCTGAAAAGGCAACAGAGTTTGTGGTAAGTGATTACAATGATCTCATTAGGGAGTCTGTATCTGAATTTGATTTTCAGCATAACAATACATTTGTTTCACACGAAGCTACTGTGAAAGGGACAACATATCGAAAAAACATGTTTGTTGTCATTCAAGAAAATGATGAGGGGCTTATTGTGGGCAGGATTGTGATGACAGTCATACACAAAAATTCTGTGTATTTTATCACAGAACTTTTCCAGACTAACAGATTCCATGATATGGGTATTCACATCTTGACAACAATAAATGGATCCTACCTGTGTGTTAATCAGAAAGATCTACTTGATTATTATCCCTTGTCAAAATACACAGTAGTGAATATGTCTGTAATTGTTCTTCATCATTCTGTTGTCTCCATTTAGAGCAATGTCCTCCATAAGGGAAGAACTAAAAGACATCATCCACAAGGCCTTACCTTCTAATGATGACAACATCACACAGCTTTTGATTGATCGAATTTTGGACTCTGGTTTGGAATCCAAGGATGACCTTAAGTTTGTTCAACAAGAGGACATCAGTGACATACTTCCGACTATAAAACTGCGGAAACTACTCAGTACTTTTAAAATGGGTAATTATAATCATACATTTCATTTATTTAGAAAAACAAATACATTTTAATCATATTTGAAAGGACATAAAAGTGCACATAATAATTTACACTTCATTTTCTCTCAATTTGAGTTAAACAATTTGTTTCCTTTTTAGTCAGTTCATTAGTAAATTAAACAATGCAAATAGTTTTAGATGTTAGTAGCTTTATTGAAATATATTTGGCTCGTATGTGACAAATTTGTATTATAAATGTAAATGGGTCAGTGGGTAGAAATAAATGCATTATCCTTTGTATATATTAAGTTGTGTTTTAACTGTCACTTCAATATTTTTGTGATGTATAGAGACGGAAACTGTTACTTTGGATCTTAGCATCATGCAGCACACTCCATCATCAGCTGGGAGCTCCTCACCTATTCCATGCTCTTCTAATATGTTTACTGATGGAGAATCAAGCAGTCTAGAAGACAGTAGACCATCTACATCCCATGCTACGAAATCATGGCCAGATACCTTCCAGGTGCCATGGCAGCTTATGCCTGGTGAAATTCAGACAGCTATTTCCTCTGGGAGGCGGCCTTCACCACAGGCAAGACGACAGATGGTTAGGGTGCTTGCAGATGAAATGAGAAAATATGAGCCAACTCCAACACGCGCACAATGTCTTACTATTTGTAAAGGGATAGTTCACAAATATCCGCAAAGTTTTGCAGATCAGCTTCATGATGGCCGAATTGTTGGTGAAGGTTATAGCTCACTTTTGATCCAGATCAAGACAAGAATAGACAATGTTAGTCGAACCACCAGTTTCAGACAGCACAGGTCATCAAGCAGCAGCAATAAAAGAGGACCCACTGACACATATGGTTGTACGCGATTTCAGCCTGGTCTTCCTTTAGAGGAAACGGATGCCTCTGTTGAGAATAAACGCCAGAAGCTGGAGAATATCTATCTTCGAGAAGGAGCAAAAGGAATAGAGAAGGCTGAAGTAAACCAACTGATGGAGACAACGTACTGCCTTCAACGAACCCAAATAAATAGTGTCCCAGCTCCTTCTGTTGCAGAGATAATGGAAAAGTGGCCATACCTCTTTTTTCAGAAAGGCCTGCTCACACATTTTGAGCTACTTACCGACATCAATGTCCTACGTGCATTTGAACTGTCAATGCAAGAATGTGGAAAGACCATTTTAGAGTTTTTTAAAAGCAAGCCTACAAACTCTGAAGTAAAGTCAGTCCTTTCCAACGATGCTGTCACTGATTCATCTTACCTCGTTGTGCTACTCCTTATGGCTCACTTTGTTGAAAAGAAAGAAGGACTCATTCTTCATGAAAATGTAAGTTTGTTTTATGTGTATTCTTTGTAGGAATGGTACAACCATATAGTTGTCTTTACTCATTCATTTTATTGTTGTTGTTGTTGTTGTTGTTGTTGTTGTTGTTATGTACATATTGTCAGTTATTTACAATTTCTTTTTTACCAATAGATGTCTGCCACTCCTGCTGATCTTGAAAAGATGGGTAACCTGCCTGTGACTCCTCGTTTGATCCTGCTTGGTAAGTATTTTGTGATCAGGATAGGAAAAAAATCCAACTTGTGTCTCACTGTAGACTTTGCTGGTTTGTATTTGAGAAAATGAGTTCATTCAATTTAATTCACTAAAGCAAACTCTCATTTATTTTGAATGTGTGTATTTGTTTTGGTCTGATACCCAAATAAATAAACTTGCCTTTTAGAAGCCTAGTTATCCTTATATATATACTACTATATACTTATATATACTACTATTGACATACTATTGTCAATTTTTTAACATGCTTTAGACATTTTGCCACTTTTCATTATCTTTGAATCTCAGATTACCTGGGTTGATTTCATGTAGTTGCTTATTATAGTTATTTACATATTTATTTTAATTTAGAAGAATTATATTGTATGGCTTCAAAAAGTCTTGCATAATTTTATCATGGCCCTTTCTACATCAAGCCTTTCAAAATAAATGATAAATCACAGAATTTAATCTTCAGAATAATTCTTAAATAATACTTTAATCAATCAATTTCTTAAAGGTCCAGATGATACTCCGGGCCAGTGGATAAAACAATGGATGATCAGCATGGAAGGCAGAGTAATCTGTGAGGGTGTGCAGCCCCATTTTCTTTCTGGACTTGCTACAGTGTTTTCTTTGTACTACATCTTCAATTTGCAGTACCAGGAGGAAACAGCATGCACACTGGAATTCCTTCAAAGGTAATATGTTTTCACTTACATATTTTTTGTTTAATATAGCATGAGGACTTCATGAGACAAATACAGCAAAAACTGTGATATAGTGAAATGTCAGTTAAATATTATAAATTTATCATAAACTAATTAAATCATTTACTGGTATTTTATTGTATGTAGTTTAAAATGTTATTAATTCTTGTGTTTTAAAGTAGAATTTTAATCACCATAATTAAAAATACTAGTCTTCAGTGTCACATAATCAGGCCCGTTTTTTAGCCGCGAGGGCCGGTATCCCTAGCTCCAGAATCGGTTGCTCTCAGCAGTCACACTTTTTAAATTTATTTATCTAAGTTATTTACTTGACCACAGCCTTTTTATTCATTATTTTAACGCAGCTCTACTCTTTTTATCTATTTTCTCGCAGCTCAGTGAGCAAATTGCAGCCTGCAGGTTAATGACGATATAACTTGGTCAACTTTCACTAAATAGCTGTTGTGGTTCAGTGGTTAGCACGTTAGTTTTCGACCCCGCAGACCCAGGTTCGATCCTCGTTTGAGTAATTAATTTTTTTTTTTTTTTTCATTTTTATTGTTAAGACATATAATACTGTAAGGGTTGTTGAACATTTGAAGTTCTAAAGCAGTTGTTTTCTCAAAAAAACACGTGATAGTGTCATTAGAAACTGATTTGGAAATGACCTTATTTTAATATAGTCAGTCGTGAACTGAGGTGGGCCGGTCTGAGGCTTGAAACTCCAGGGCTGAAAAGGAGTCCCACTCCGGCCCTGCACATAATTCTTATGATGCCTAACATAATCATCAGCTCAGAATTAAAATGTATTGTTGTTGTCATCACTTTGTGAAACAATACAATACACATTATTCATTCAGTTTCTTTTCAGCTTAGTCCCTTTATTAATCCGAGGTCGCCACATCGGAAAATAACGCCAACTTATCCAGCACATTTTATGTAGCGGATGCCCTTCCAGCTGCAACACATCTCTGGGAAACATCCATACACACTCACTCACACTCATACACTACAGACAATTTAGCCTACCCAATTCACCTGTACCGCATGTCTTTAGACTTGTGGGGGAAACCGGAGCACCCAGAGGAAATTGCAAAAATGCAAATTCAACACAGAATCGTCAATTCACCCAGCCAAGGCTCGAACCAGTGACCTTCTTGCTGTGAGGCGACAGCCCTACCTACTGTGCCACCACGTCAATACGAACTATACTATTTAAAAGTACCATTAAAATAATTTATTTTTATTCATCAAATTAAATTGTCCAAGCATGAAAGTAAATTAGGCGACACAGTGGCTCAGTAGGTAGTGCTGTCGCCTCACAGCAAGAAGGTCGCTGGTTCGAGCCTCGGCTGAGTCAGTTGGCATTTCTGTGTGGAGTGTGCATGTTGGCATGGTTTACCTCCGGGTGCTCCCCTTTCCCCCACAAGTCCAAAGACATGTGGTACAGGTGAATTGGGTAAGCTAAATTGTCTGTAGTGTATGTGTGTGAATGGCATCCGCTGCGTAAGACATATGATGGATAAGTTGACGGTTCATTCCTCTGTGGTTACCCCAGATTAATAAAGGGACTGAGCCGAAAAGAAAATGAATGTATAAATGAAAGTAATTGAATTTATTATAATGCAAAAAAGATTTTAAAAATTCTTAAATCAAAGTATCAGAAAATAATGTATCAGTTTCACTAAAATACTATGAAGCTTTTTTCACCACTGATAATTATAAGAATCATTATTAGTGGTTTTGTACCAATAATATAATAATGATTTATAAAGGATCATGTGACACTGAAGACTAATGTAATGGTGATAAAAATTCAGCTTTACATCACAGGAATAAATTTAATGTAAAACTACGTTCAATAAAAAAAGATAAAAATTTGAAAAAAATAGAGTTATTTAAATTGTGTAGTAACATTTTATAATTCAACATTTTTACTTTATTTTTGATCACATAAATGCAGCCTTTGTGAGCAGAATAGCCTTTTTAAACATTACCTCTCACAAATCTGTCTTTCAAATTAATATTTTGAATAAAATGCTTTGCAATTATATATTTTTGCATAAACATTAGATTAGTGAGTACCAAAGACAAAACTGGAGCTAAAAAACATGCCAGTGCATATTTTGATGAAAAAAAAATACTGCTTTATTAATAAACAGGAAAAACTATTACTCTAATAGGTATAACTGTTTATTAAAACTGTTTTGTTAAAAAGCACCAACATATATTGTCTATATTCACTGAGGAATTTATTCAAATCTAAATTTTTTAAAGGGGTTGCTCATTTATGCTGAACAATTTATAGGTATATATGTAGTGTGTGTGTGCAGTTGAAGTTAAAATTATTAGCTCCCTTGATTTTTTTTCTTTTTTCAATATTTACAAAATTATGTTTAACAGAGCAAAGAATTTTTCACATAATGTCCAATAATATTATTTCTTTTGGAGAAAGTTTGTGTGATTTTAGCTAGAATAAAAGTAGTTTTTAATTTTTAAAAAACATTTTAAGGTCAATATTATTAGCCCCCCTTAAGCAATATATTTTTTTCGTATGTCTACAGAACAAACTATCATTGTACAATGACTTTAATTAACCTAGTTCACCTAGGTAGGCCTTTATATGTCACTTTAAGCTGAACACTAGTATCTTAAGAATATATCTAGTCAAGTATTATTTGCTGTCATCATGGAAAAGATAAAAGAAATTAGTTGTTAGTTTTTACAAAGTAGTTATTAAAACTAGTATGTTCAGAAATGTTGAACAAATCTTCTCTTTGTTAAACAGAAATTGGGGAAAAATTATATATATATATATATATACACACACTCACAGTTGAAGTTAGAATTATTAGCCCCCCTGAATTATTAGCACCCCTGTTTATTTTTTCCCCCGATTTCTGTTTAATGGAGAGAATATTTTTTCAACACATTTTTAATCATAAAAGTTTTAATAACTCATCTTTAATAATTGATTTATTTTATCTTTGTCATGATAAAAGTAAATAATATTTGAATAAATATTCTTCAAGACACTTCTATACAGCTTAAAGTGACATTTAAAGGCTTAACTAGGTTAATTAGGTTAACTTGGCAGGTTAGTGTAATTAGGCAAGTTATTGTATAACGATGGTTTGTTCTGTAGACTATCGAAAAAAAATAGCCTAAAGGGGCTAATAATTTTGTCCTTAAAATGATGTTTTAAAAATGTATAACTGCTTTTACTCTAGCCAAAATAAAACAAACAAGACGTTTTGCAGAAGAAAAAATATTATCAGACATACTGTAAAAATTTCCTTGCCCTGTAATAATAATTTGGAAAATATTTAAATAAGAAAAAAAAAATCAAAGGGGGGCTAAATATTCTGACTTTAATTGTATGTATATATATATATACCCCCCCGTTTATTTTTTCCGCAATTTCTGTTTAATAGAGAGCATATTTTTTACACATTTCTAACACATTTTACACATTTCTAACAGCTTAAAGTGACAATAAAAGGCTTAATTAGGTATACTAGGCAGGTTAGGGTAATTAGACAAGTATAAGTATAAAGTGGTTTGTATAAAGATGGTTTGTTCTGTAGACTATCAAAACAATATGTAGCTTAAATATGCTAATAATTTTGTCCCAAAAATGTTTTTTTTTTTTAATTTAAAACTGCTTTTATTCTAGCCGAAATAAAACAAATAAGACTTTCTCCAGAAAAAAAATAAAATATTATCAGACATACTGTGAAAATTTCCTTGCTCTGTTAAATAGACTTAAATAGGGAAATATAAAAAAAAATAGAAAAAATAGAAATAGGGAAATATAAAAAAATTAATTTAAGAGAGGCTAATCTGAATTCAACTATTCAACTGTGAGTGTGTGTGTGTGTATGGATATATATATATATATATATATATATATATATATATATATATATATATATATATATATATATATATATATATATATATATATACCCCACCTTAACTTTTTTTTCTCTTTTTTTATTTATTTCCCAAATGATGTTTAAAAGGACAAGGAAATTTTCACAGTATGTCTGATAATATTTTTTCTTCTGCAGCAAGTGTTATTTGTTTTGTTTCGGCTTGAATAAAAGCAGTTTTTTAAAAAACATTTTTGGGACTATATTATTAGCCCCTTTAAGGTTTTTTTTTTTCTCGATAGTCCACAGAACAAACCATCATTATACAATGACTTGCCCAATTACCCAAACCTGCCTAGTTAACCTAATTAACCTAGTTAAGCCTTTAAATGTCACTTTAAGCTGTATAGAAGTGTCTTGAAAAATATCTAGTTAAATATTATTTACTGTCATCATGGCAAAGATAAAATAAATCAGTTATTTGAAATGAGTTATTAAAACTATTATGTGCAGAAAGGTGTTGAAACTATCTTTCCTCCGTTAAACAAAAATTGGGGAAAAAATTAAACGGGGCGCTAATAATTCAGAGGGGCTAATAATTCTGACTTCAACTGTGTGTGTGTGTGTGTGTGTGTGTGTGTGTGTGTGTGTGTGTGTGTGTAATAATTCTGGATGGGCTAATATGGACTTCAACTGTGTACACACACTGACACATGTCACTGGTGTTGATCAAAAGTCATACATTTTAACATTTGAATGCCCCTTTCAAGTTTTTAATTTTCATCATATAACAATAACCATTTTCAAGGAAAATCATTTCAGTGCTGCAAAAATGCATGTGCTTTTATATAAAATTTTTCTTTCAGAACAAAAAATCACTCTTTTAGAGATAGTTTATTTATTTTTGTAAATCATACAGTTTTAAAACCTTGTTCACTGAAAACCTTTTATTCTTATTATTCAGACGCTTTGCTGGGATAAATCCAGAGAAGGGAACCAAGGCTGCAAGGGGAAATGTGACATCAAAAAAAAGTGGCAAGACAGTTCAGAAGAAGACCATGACTGTAAACGCCAAGGTTTCAAACCTTTTAAAAAAACTAATGGACTTTGAATGGGACTTTATTTAAAAGTCCCCCCCCCCCCCCCACCCCCCACACACACACACTTTCGCAACAATAATATATAAACCAGAGGCCTTTTTTTAGTTCATTTTGGGGCTACATATTTTTTTATTTTATATACAAGACTACATTGTAAAGTGGCTATTTATTATTTTTTTCTAAGACATTCGGTAAGTTGCTTCTTGTTGTACAATGCTGAATGTGTTCTCAACATTTCTTGAGAACTTACAATTTTTGCCTGTTCTTTGGCTTAATATTGTCAAAATAACAATGCTTGTTTTATTTTGTGTTGTTTGAAAATAAATATGTGAAATATACCTTGGATTTATTTCTCTTTTTGAATCCACAGACAAGTTAAAATGTAGTTTATAAAATCATTTTGGTTAAAATATGGCTTGTAATTTAACAGCTTTATGCTTCTAAATAACAAAAGTATGCTGTAGATAAAATGTAAAAAAAGGTAGGGCACTGTATTTTTACATTACAATAACAGTGGTATGCTGTATCTTACAAAACAGTATTATGCTGTAAATTTAAAACGGCAGGGCACTGTATTTTTACAGTTCTATAACAGTAGATTACTGTTGCTAACAAAAACAGTATCATTCTGTTAAATTAAAACGGCAGCGCACTGTATTTTTACAGTTCCGCAACAGTAGCATACTGTTGCTAACAAAAACAGTATCATTCTGTTAATTTAAAAAACGGTAGGGCTTTGTATTTTTACAGTATGATAATGGCAACCACAGCTGCCAGTAGATTACCGTTTTTTTACAGGGAAATTTTTTACAGTGTATGTCCATTCAAACACCTAACCAAAACCCAGAGTGTCCACTTTCGCTCCTCTCAGATTGCGTGTACAGAATCCGTTAGGGAAACAGTGTCTATTTGTTAATGTGGAGTGCGTCTAACAGTTACGCACAGCTACATGATCTGTTTTGAGGATTGCATTAGAGAGGCAAAGGCACCTGTTATAGAATGAAAGGGAAACCCACCATTTTTATATTTATCTCAAAGGGTTTTCATGCCTAAGTAAAAATAAAAGCACAGAACAGATTTACATTTAACTTACTTACTTTAGTATTCTTGACCGTCTGTTTTAACTGCTCTTTGACTAACACAAAAGCATTTTTCACCACCAAATATTTATTTAACATTCTTTAGCTGTGAACCATGTCTTAAAGTAGTGTTTATCATGAATTTATAGAATTAGACATAAAAATAACTGCAGTGAAAATACAAATGAATACAAAATGAACAATAGATGACAGAAATCAAAATGCTTTGTTTCATTAACAAATAATAGCCTTCTTAAATAACTATCACAGGGTCTGACTAAAGAAATTGACATTTTATTCCATCTGAATGAATTATCAACCAGCAAAATACAAACAAAACAGTATCCTTTCCTGTGCGTTGAGTGCGCGAAGTTTCATTCAGTCCTTCAGTTGGTTTTATATTAGTGTACTGGGGAATAGTGACTAAGGCATTGACCGTGAGCATGGACACAGAACTAGCACTAGTTATAGTTTAGTCATTTTTAAGCAAGATGCTTAAGGTCTAATCCAATAAAATAATTAAATGAGTGAGCGAGTGAGTGAGTGAGTGAGTGAGTGAGTGAGTGAGTGAGTGAGTGAGTGAGTGAGTGAGTGAGTGAGTTTGGGTGGTATACAGTATAGACCATTTTGAGGGAAGTAAACAAAAACAATGGCATTTCCAGTTTTACATTTAATTTCTATAGCTTCTGACAGTAAAAAAAGGAGCCACTTATTTATAAATAATGTTATGACAGCTGTTTTAACATTAAGTTATGATTGATTTGCCTCTTGTTACAGTTTTGAAATAGTTGATATCAAGCAGGAAATGTTTATGGGCCAATGACATGACCACATTGAAATGGTCTACATGGTTATGTTTTCTGTCTGATGGATCACTATAGTCTGGATACCCATTCATTTCCTATGGCGGTCACTTATGACCGGGAACACCACAGGCGTAACAAGGATGATTAAAACACTCAAAATTCAATGAAAGAAGTGATCATCACTTTTATATGTTCATGTGCATAGCGTGGAGGATAACATAAGGCCTTGAGGTAATCAGATGTAAAACACAAAATTTATGAGTGTTTTAAGATGCAAATCGGTCAGATTTGACCCGAACACGACAGGAAGGTTAAGAGCAAGGGATGTGCCCTGGTGGTTCGGCGGTATGGATTGCATATAGGGAGGGTCAACCCTTTATTGTTTATTGCCACCCTTCACAGACAGATTAAAAATATGGGAAAATACCATTACGGGATGATAGAACTGTAAAATATGGGAGAATCCTGGAAAGAAAGGGAGGGTTGACAGGTATGCTGTAAGAGCTGCAAGTCAGTTTAGAGCTTATTAATATTTACAACCAATCCAAATATGGTCAATATAGACCTTCTACACTGTGAAATATCCAGGTTGCCTTAAATTTTTAAACTGAATGAAATTACTTAAGAGTCCATTGAACTTACATTAAGTTAAACTGACTTAAAACAGCTTTTGTATCTTATAAAATTAAGTTAGAGCATGTATAACTTAGTTTAATAAGTTACAATGACTTAAAAACGCATGTTGTCAAGACTAATTTATCTTACCATTTTTTACAGTGTAGGGGGATTTTATGGAATAATAAATAAACATTTAAAAATATTTCTCGAGATTTTTTTAAATTACCTTAGCCATATACTCACTATAGATATCAGAAAACAATTGATCTTATTAAATCAATGCAATATATGTCACATTTAAGACTTCTGCCAGCCTTGTGTTTGTTTTCGTCTTTGTATCAGTTGCAACAAGATATATGCCATGCGGTCTGGAGGTGAACTCAGTGACCAGTCATTGATTTCTGGAGGAAACCATTAACGGATTTGACATCGTAGCATTTCCATGCAAGCAAACATAACGAATGTATGCCAGGCAATGGACCTCTAGAGCTTAATAAGTTAATGTACATACAGTTTCTGACCACTGCTTCTGCTTTTATTGAAAACTGCAGACGAGGAGAAACTGGCCTTGACTGACCCACCTTGATGAGCTCGTTTTGAAGCAGTTGGATTCTGTCCTTCATGGCGGATGCTTTGCTGCTTTCACTGGACAGCTTGAACTTCAGAGAGGCTGCAAACAAAAAAGACAATCATTATAATGTATATATATATATGATTATATGATTAAATAGGTTAAATTATTAGCTCTTCATGTGATATTTTCTTTTAAAATAGTTTCCTCCTTCTGGAGACAGCTCTATTTCTTTTAATTTGGCTAGAACAAATGCAGTTGTTGCATTTTTGAAAATATTTTAGGCCACTATTATCAGCTCCCCAAAGACTTATGTAGTATTTTATGAAACCATTTTTGTTTAATTAATTTCCTAATTAGCCTAACTTGACTAGTTAACCTAATTAAATTAGTTAAGCCATAAAATTGCAGTTTAAGCTGAATACTAGTACCTTGCAAAAGGTGCTAAAAGGTCACCACAGCAGATGCCCTTCCAGCCGCAATCCAGTACTGTGAAAACACCCATACCCACTCATTCACACACAGACTCATACAGTATAGACAATTTAGTTTATTCAATTCACCTATAGCGCAGTTTCCTCCCGGGGAAAACAAACACAAAACGAGAAGACATGCAAACTCCACACAGAAATGCAGAAACTGGACAAACCAGGGCTTGAACCAGCCCAGCGACCTTCTTGTTGTATTCTTCTTGTTGCTATTTTTGTGACCTCATTAGATTATTCAATACCAATATCAAACTGAAACAAATTGAACTGGAACAAATTGTACATTTAATTTATTATGTTAGGGAAAACTATGAAATTAAAATAAAATATAAGAAAAAAATCAAGACAGAGTTTTTACTTTTTTGCAATATTTTTAATTTAATTTATAATTATAATCTTTCTATTTCTAAAATATTATTTTAATACACCTATCTGTTTAAAAAAATCCATTCTGTTAAAATGCACCAAATATTTATATTTATATATTACAATATATTACTTGCACTCACAGAAAAATTTATGAAAATATTCATTATGAAAATGAGTTGTACTTATTTATGCTGAGCACTGTTTATAATAATACAAATATTTATTAAATCATCACTGAAGCATCAGCTAATTGCATGGCCATGACACTGTGAAGATATTTTTGGAGAAAACATTACAGACTTTATCTAAAGCCCTGAAAGCTATGCGGTGCATTAGGGACAGAGAAGAAATTAAAGGTTGCGTCTGCTTTGAAGGCCTTAAAGGTCTTTGACGTGTCCTTTTAAATGGAGCTCATGTTTGTGTGCATATGAGTGTGTGAGGGACGCAAACTGTCCTTCAGCAGATAAGGCAGGGAGTGCTTATCAGATTCCCTACGCTAAATGAGAAAAGTCTTATCAATCCTCAGCACAGCTCGGCGAGGACATGACACCTGTGCCAATCACTTCACACTCACAACTTTCACATCTGAGAAGTTCTACAAGTTAGCACAACTTTAGTCTGATGCACTTTTTTGTGTACTTAATCTGTTATCAGGATGATAATCATTAGTGGTGTTAGCATTAGCCCATAGTAGTGCCTAGCCATGTTCTATTTTTATTTTTATAGTCCAGCCAAAACCAGCTATATCCAACTTAAACCAGGCTGATCAAGCTGGTTTTAGCTGGATTTGGCTGGTCATTTTCCAGCCTGACCAGCTAAGACCAGGCTGGAAATAGATGGAAACCAGCCTGGAAATGGCCAAAACCCCTCTAAAACCAGGCAACCAACCAGCTTAGGCTGGTTTAAGCTGGATTTTTCAGCAGGGAATTGTTTAGCCCATGCAACAGATGTTATTGATAAACAGCAGAATAATGCTTGCTAATGCCAACCATTAGATTTATCTCCTAATAAATTGCTAAAACCACAAAGTAGCATAGCAAAGTGTTAGCAACGGTTAATATGTTAGTGGTTATTTTTTAAGCACATCTTGTCTTTATCTTGTCAATAACTAGCTATTTAGACTATGCTCTGAAGGTTACTTATAAGTAATTAAACTGGTAAGTACTGGCAAAATGTATTATTTGTCAAACCATTTGTTAAAATTTACTTAATTGAAACAAACTGTAGCCTATAGACAAACTTGAAGTATGTACACAAATCCTAATCTAAAGTCACAGCTAGCAAAAGTAAAGATCTGACTAGTTGATTTTGTAGATTGTAAACCTTTAATGAAAAGGCTGACATAATGGCAGCACCAGCTGGTAATCAGTTTTGGTGAAGTGTAAAATCATAAATAATCTTTATATTCTTAAAAGTTCAAAAGGAGATCTTGGAAAGTGCTAATGTTAGCCTGATAGCACTGAAAGCCTACATGCCAGCCTGCAAGTGCCATCCAAACCACTCCTCCTGAATATATTACCACTCACTCGACAACACCTCTACAATACATCCCGCAACATTGAACAGGCAGAAAAGTTTATTGTACAGTTAATAATTAAAATGCCAAACCTAAAAAAAAATAGGATGTTGCTATATGACTACCTTGTGGGAGCAAGGTCGCCTCACAGCAAGAAGGTCGCTGGTTCAAGTCGGCATTTCTGTGTGGAGTTTCCATGTTTTCCCCATGTTCTCCCTGTTTTCATGTAGGTTTTCCTTGGGTTTTTTCCCACAATCCAAAGACATGCGCAATAAGTGAACTGAATAAGCTAAATTGGTGTGGCGTATGAGTGTCTGTGTGGGTGTTTCCCAGTACTGGGTTGTGGCTGGAAAGGGTATCCACTGCATAAAACATATGTTGAAATAGTTGATAGTTTATTCCACTGTGGCGATCTCTCTAAAAATAGAGCCTAAGTCGAAGGAAAATTAATGAATGAATGACGTTATCTTTTCTGTAGAAACAGGGTGTGCAGAGGTATGGACATTACATATTTTGACAGGCAGGTAGAACAGACAGCCTATCATAACATTCGGACCTAATGTTCTGATTGGACGAACTTGTCTTTCTCCTACTGTACACGTATCACAGATTATTAAAATCATATAAATAAATTTGGAAAAATGTATTTGATTGATTGCTATCAGGACATGCAGAGACTTTCAATAGTAAGACTAAAAGAGTTTCTAAGACCTTAAAATGATAATACAAAAAGGAATTATACCAATGCGGTCAGCGATCTCAGTGTTGGTCATGACGTCGACGTCGGTGTCATCCAGCAGCGTTCGTCCCAGGTCCTGATGCAGAGAGAGTTCCCGTCGCAGATCACTGTTCTCAGACTCCAAAACCCTCATCTGAGATCGCAAGCCGATCATGTCCTCCGCCATCTTATGCAGAGCCCCACTGTAGTTTTCCAGCTCCTGTAGGAGAAATAAAAATAAATTTTTAAAGACAATATACCTTGTATATGGATTTCGAATGTGAGCAATTACATTCCATTTAGGAAATCATTTCATTCATTTATTCATTCATTTTCATCCGCTTTTCTGGGGTCAGGTCGTGGGGGCAGCAGTCTCAGGAGAGAACCCCAGACTTCTCTCTCCCCGGACACTTCCTCCAGCTCCTGCAGAGGGATCCCAAGGGTTCCCAGGCCCCCCGAGAGACATAGTCCCTCCAGCATGTCCTGGGTCTTCCCCGAGGCTTCCTTGCTGTGGGAAATGCCTGGAACACCTCCCAAGGTAGAAGTAATGGAGACATTCGAAACAGATGCCCAAGCCACCTCAGCTGACTTCTCTCAATGTGGAGGATCAGTGGCTCTACTCTGGGATCCTCCCAGATGACGGAGCTCCTAACTCTATATATAAGGGTGCTCCCTGCCACCCTTGGAAGGAAACTAATTTCGGTCACTTAAATCCAAGATCTTATCCTTTTGATCATGACCCAAAGAGTTGATTGACTGGTTAATTGAGAGCTCTGCCTTTCGGCTCAGCTTCTTCTTTGCCATAATGGACCAGTGAATTAATCGCATTACTGCTGTCGCTGCTCCAATCTGCCTGTCAATCTCACGTTCCATCCTTCCCTCACTCGTGAACAAAACCCCAAGACACTTGAACTCCTCCACCTGGGATAAGAACTTTCTTTCAAGCTAGAGATGGAACTTTGTCTGGTGGAGCACCATGGCCTTGGAGGTGCAAATTTTCATGCCGGTCGCGTCACACTCTGCAACAAAGTGCCCTAGTGCATGCTAAAGTTCCATGTTCTATAAAGCCAAGGGAATAACTGTCTGCGAATAACATAGATAAAATTCTGTGGTCCCTGAAGTGGACCCCCTCCAGCCCAAAGATATGCTTAGAAATATAGTCCATAAAAATTATAAACAGAAACGGTGACAAAGGGAAGCCCTGCCAGAGTCCAACATGCACTGGAAACAAGTGTGACTTATTGCTGGCAATGCAAACCAAACTCCTGCTCTGTTCATACAGACACGAGACAGCCATCTAACCGCATACTCCCAGAACACCTTCTACAGAATGCCACATTTAGGAGATACTTTTAAAAGTATATAACAGCAAGATAGAAGCAAAAGCAGAAATCAGGCCCTAAACATGTAGTAAATTAGGTGGTAAAACTGTCGGTACAGTAATTTCATGGCACTTCAAGATATTAAGAATACTGTTTTATAATAACATTCAGTGTTCCTTTTTCTTAACATTAATCACCAGTGTAGGGGAAGGTTAGCTACTTTAAAAGTAGCATATTGCAAACATTTTTTATGTTTTTTAAAGTAACTGTGTTACTTTTAAAGTAAAATAAAGTTGTTGTTTTTTTTGTTTTTTTTTGTAGTTGTTTTTTTTCCATCTCGGCTGGGCTTAAGATTATATTATATTACTTTAAAATGTTAATTTAATTAAATAAATGTACATTTCTTAACATTGTCAGTTGCTACTACAAAGAGGGTCCAAAGAGGGTCAATTAAAAAAGTAAAATTAAATATTGATTTTTTTTTTTTTTTACAATTTACATATACATTTGTATTTATTCCCATAATGCAGCAATAACAGTAAAATATGCTAACATTGAATACTTAACATTTGATTCATATTTACTTATTAATGAGAAGTTGTTAATTAGATACAATATAGTTTTATATTTTAAAAGTATATTAAGGGAAATATAAAACAAAACATGTGACGATTAAAAACATAATAAAGGGATAATTCACCCAAAAATGTCAATTCTGTCAACATTTACTCACCCTTGTTTCAAATCTTCATGGGTTTCTTTCTTCTGCTGAGCACAGAAGAAGAAAGAAAGCTGAAAACCTGTAACCATTGACTTCCAAAGGCATTTGTGTTTCCTACTAAGTCAGTGGTTGAGTTTCAACGTTCAACAGAAAAAAGAAAATCAAAGGTTTGCAACCAATTGAGGGTGAGTAAATAGAGAGTATCTTTTCATTTTAGGGTGAACTGGCCCTCCAACCGTAAGTGTCATTTGCAGTTTGCCGCCAGTAGGTGGAATCAAAGTCACATGTTCAGTCGGTCTAAACAAATGTAAGTCTGATTGGAATCGATTCGTATCAGAACCTGGCTACTTGCCCAATAAACATTAATTTTATGCTTTTAAAAGAAAGTGAGATAAACACACATAGTGTGTCAGCCGATGCCATATTTTCAGTCAGTCTGTAAACGCCTCAGTGGTTTATTTATCAATCCTCTGACTGGTTATGCTGGCAGACACTGATGCTGAAAGCTGAGTGAGAAATGTGTACACAGTGAGGATTGAGACAGGGATTAGGATGAAATCCACCAAGTGAAAGGTATTTTTTTCCTCAGAATCCCCTCTAACAAGAATAAAAAATGTTCAGGCAGACAGTATCGAGTCTTAGACAGTTGAATTCATTGTCATAGTCATACATTCTTGTAAAAAAAAAAAGCTATTGTGGTCTATTGAATGTGCTCTTTCTTTTTAAAAGTAATGTATTAAGTAATTTCTGAACCAAACTACAATTAAGTGTATTATAGGCCTATTGTATATTATTTACAACCATTTCTTATTGTAAGGTACAACATGCGGTATTAACTAGTTAACTCATAAACTGTAATAAATACCGCAGTTTAGCCTAATTTAGATTTACTACAGTATACTATGTTGTAGTATATGTAACAATACGTAGCCTATGTAAATATATATATATATATATATATATATATTTACATAAAAGTTCTGTCTGGTTCTGGAATCTGTTTGGCTGATAACAGTGATAAATTTAAGTAATGTCAGCACTTGTACAGCCTCTTTACTCTTTGTGTATTACTCCAGCTACATATAGCCAGCAAAAAGCAGACTTTACAGATATAAAGTTTAAAAGATGCTTGCTCAGCTGTTTAACTGTCAGCTTATGATTTTAATCCAACATGGTAGTTCCTCATACAAAAGTGTTTTTGAGACTCTCCATGTTTGACTTTGTTTTTATATACACAATTATGCCGTCAAACTGTTGTATAAACGCAATATCACACGAGTAGCAGTGCGATATGGCTGTATATCGGCACTGGTGGGGGCACTAATGCAACGCACGCCTCCCACCAGTGCTGATATACAGCCATATCGCACTGCTGCTCATTTGATATTGCTCATATATATAGTATAAGTAGTATAAAACTATTGTAATAAAAGCAAATGACCCAATACTGTAGTTTCCTGTAGTACAACTTTAGGGTTTGTTGAAAACTACATTATTGGGTCATTTGTTTATGTTACCATAACAACTAAAGAATAACCGTAACTAACTAATTGAAGCACTTTACCATAGTATGATTTTAAAAACACTACAGAATTAAGTACATGCAGTTTATAAGTAAGGATAGTGCCTATTTCAAAATATTTATAATTTCTGAGAGACAGCTCGTCGGTATCCAGCAGCCTGTCAATTAGCCCTTTGGGGAGAAAAGTTTGGTGCATTTTCTAACTACATCTGATTAAATAATGAATAATCTGGCAAGTGACATTCTAAGTCGATCTCTCTCTTTTGTATGTTACAGTGCTGTATTTATAACATAGTAATTGTAGTGTATTGAGTGTGAGCTGGGACTCACATATCAGGAATGCATGTACTTTGTTTTTGCCACTCTTTGTATAATCCGAATTACTTTTTGGTTGGCCATCTGTTTATTTCTAATGAGTCTCCTGTTTTCGGTACTGCAGACTAGTTCAGTAAAAAGAAAGAAAGAAGAAATGCCCGCATATGTTTGCATTTTCCTTATCGCAAACACAACAGTAGTCTGGTAGTTTGCTTTGCTTTGGCTTTTTCTGAGTTAATTATCAAGATATCGCAACAGAGTTGTAACAGAGAAATACTGGGAAATGTCAGACTGGTAATCTGAAAATGTGAGCAAAATCACATCACCTGTTTTGTCATAACTTTAGACATTACGCTAGAAAATCATTCAAATACTATCTCTAAAATGCTGTTCAGACATCAGCTGCAGGTGTGGATGAATGGAGAAAAGTAGTTCCTCATACAAAAGGGTTTTAGACTTTAGTGTTTGATTTTCTTTTTATATTTACAATTATGCTGTCAAACTGTTGTATAAATGCATTATCACACTTGTGGCAGTCCGATATGGCTGTATATCGTCACTGGTGGGACACTAATGCATACCTGTCAACATTGGGATATGAAAATAAGGGATATGCCAACTATAATAAGGGATTCCTCCTTTTAAAAAGCCCCAAATTACTAAATATGTTCATTTGAAGCTGCTTCATTGTAAATAAACAGTTAAACGGTCAGTAATATGTTTTATTATTATTATTCACAAAAGACAAAAAAAAAAAAAAGAATCAAGCTATCAAATCAGCCGTTTCTTTACTGTATAACTTACACATTCTTTTTAAAGAGCAGCAATTTCGTTTGATTACATTAAATAACAGAGGTGTCACTTTAAAAATGCACACATCTAACATTATAAGGAAAGCATTTTATTTTTCATGCTTATTTAGGATAAAATTTAGTTGTTTGAAAAAAAAAAAAACACCAAGATCGACCTCTTTAGATCGCACCATTTTTATATTTATTTCAAAGTGTTTCCATAACTAAACAAAGGGAAAGCACCGAACAGACTCACATTTAAGGGCAAGGGGCGGCCCCTGACGGTTCGGTGGTATGGGTTGCGGATAGGGAGGATCGGTTCTTTAATGTTTATTGCCACTCTTCAGAGAAAGACTGAAAATACGGGAGAAATATGGTAAAATACCTTTACCATGATAATGGGATAGAACTGTAAAGCACGGGAGAATCCCGGGAAAAATGGGAGGGTTGACAGGTTTGCTAACGCACGCCTCCTACCAGTGCCAATATACTGCTACTTGTGTTATATAGACTACAGAATTTTTATTGAACTAAATTATCACAATATAT